GCTCATTGGAAGAATGTCTAATGAATAATTCATGAGTTTTAGAACATCTGATAAAGAACACATACATCACACCCTCATTTATCATAACATTTCTATAGTGCATTGCAATGCATTTACCTTGATTTAGTTTTCTTAAACCCATATAGCAAAATGGGTATCAAGGAGAGAGATGTTGCCACAAAGCAATGGCGTTGGTGCATCAGGTGATTCATGAAAGTGCAAACTGAGCCACGATTTTCGTTTGTGTTTCGATCTCAAGAGTTTCAGACTAGTCTGCAAAGAGTAAGCAATATTAGTTATTTTCCTTTCAAGTCTTTTTTAATATACGTTCAGAGCATCTACAATCCTGCACAACGTTTTGCTTGTGAAAATGCTTTGCTCGCATTTCTTGCAGTTTCACGGGTTATAAGCTGACACAGGAGGCCCATTGACAAGGCACGCACAAAATACAAAATAAAAAAATGTGTTATATCTGCACGGATTGTCATTTTAAAAACTCCAATAAGCGATATCTGTTCTTTATAATTGTTTTAAGGCTCACTTCACTTTAAGGTCAAATTGTGAATTTGTTGTGAACATGAATTTGTTTGTGTTTTTTTTTTGAAAAATGGTCTGTTGCCACCCAGAGCACTTTTTTGCAGGTGATTTGAAGAGTCAACATAATTTATTAACATGCACATTTACTATCCTAGGCTATTTAGAAATACTCTTAAAGCCTTGACATTGAAAGTTATAAATGAAGTATAGATGTAAACATCTGTGTCACTGATTGGTGTCATATTACAGTTCGTGTTTTCCCACATGACGTTATGGATAATTGTTAAAAATGCTTCGCTTCGACACTTTTCTAGATTCACCTGTCATTCATTAGTGACCGTATCTGATGAGCTGAAAGCAGCAATAACACTCGACGTTCTAGATTAAAAAACATAGAGTATTACGTGTCTCTTAAAATAGTCTGTGTGAAGGGAATTCGGCGGTCAAATATTAATGAATAAAGTCTATTTTGCATGATCCAGAGACATCACAGTGTAGCACCTTGACGTAGTTATTGAAAGCATAATCTTGGTATTATTTTCGGTGAAAAACATCATATGTACAACATAATTATTACATCTGTGTTAGATATTGTAAACAGTTTTGTATTCAAAGTCGCTTTTAAAATCTAGAATGATATGATTTTGATAAGTGCATATAATTTTGCTTTATCGCATACCCAGACAAAAGCATAACAAATTCATTTGCCGGATCAAAGAGCAAACCTCACCTAGTAAGCCGGAAAGAGCTGTGTGAGTATTGCTTTATTACAGTAAAGAGCTGACACAAACAATCTCTAAATTTGTGTCCTCTTCTGGGAAACAGTCCTATCTTTTAATTTTGACATAATTTTGGTAATTACTTTCGTCCCTGGTTTGATCGTTTCTTATAGTCTGGACTTCCGAAAAATACATGCGCACGCATTGAAGAGCACAGCTGTCAGATGAATGCTCTAGTGATCACTGATCACTTCCCATGTGGCATCAATCAAAGCCACGCAAATTCTCGTAGCGTTGTCAGTAATAATAAACATGGCAGAGGACAATTCTACTGAAGCAGGAGACGAAGCTGTAGTTGAAGACCAAAATAATGACGATCTTTCCGATAGTGAGAGAAGATATCTCGAGGAAAAGGCAGACATAGTACGTGGGTTTCTTCAGGAGCGTGAAATTCTTGAGCGAGCTCACGAAGAGGAGATCGAAGAGCTACGATTTTCATTCGAAGGAGAAAAAGAGAACATGCTTCAGGTATTTGAGATTGAACGACAAGAGATGCGACGGAATTTCGACARAGAAAAGGAAAAGATACGTGTTGAATTTCAAGAGGAGAAGCATGTCTTGAAGATGTCGTTCGAAGACGATAAGCTAAACATTGTAAGCCTCTTAGAAAAGGAGATTGATCAGCTAAAAAGAGGGTTTGAAAAGGAAAGAAAAGAACTTCGTGACTCATGTTCAAAGTCATTGAGGGAACAGGAAAAGCATTTTCGACTCGAAAAGGCGGAGATCGAAGGGAAAGTGCGTAGAGAGATCGAAAGAGTGCAGGAAGTCGAAGGCGAAATCAAGAGTGCGTTACTTAAAGGTCTCGGCGACTTGGAAAATGTTTACTTTGATGAAGCTGCTCTCCTTGAAGAACTTTATAATAATGAAAAACCAGAGGCTGATATGCACATTAAAGGATCTTCAGAAACCAATTCACAAATCGGTAGGAAACAAATATTTCAGTCTATGGGAGAAGAAAAGAACAAGATGTTTATGTATCACTCGACCAGGCAAAGCGAGCTGGAACACGAATTTTCTGGCGAGATTGTTGAACTTCAGGAACGTTTCAAAGAGCAGAAGAAGGATCTGATGAACATATTTAAAAGTGAGAAGCAGGACATTGAAGAGAAATACCGCAGAGAGAAGGAGGATATCAGATATAAAATAGAAACTGACTTTCAACGAGTGTTGAAACAAGAGCGTTTGAAATACGACTCCACTTTTCAAGCCTACGAGCACGATATCGCGATGCTTAGATATCAAAAGGAGCAGTTGGAGAGGTGCTACGCTTTGGAAATGGAAAAATTACAACTTAAATTTGAACGGGATCGATTAGAAATGGAGAAAAAATTACAGCGAGAGAAAAGAGAATTCAAACGTCTGTTTAAAGATCATTATTCACGCAAGGCCAGTAACGAAAGGTCAAGGCTAGAATGGCTATTACAACAGTTCGACTTCAGTGATTCCCAGTTACTGCAGGGAAATTCCAGGTCGTCTTCATCTAATGAACTATTTCGTGGCTCAAATTCAAGCTTCACGTCAGGCTCAGGCGATCTGTAGAATTGTACATAATAATTACAATAACAATAACAAAGATTATAAGCTATTTCACGGTTGACCTGAGCGTCACAGTTATCGCTGTTGGCCATACATTTTTACCTTTTTTAGAAGTAAATTGAAAATATTGTATCACTTCATCAAAGAGTTAAAATATCATTACTGATAGAACTGACAACGTATTGTCGTTATTCGTCGCCTAAATCAAAATATTCGCCCGTCTGCTAAAACTGAGTGGGACTATTCAACTAAAATGACAATTTTAATTTGCCGAGGAATCTAGGAAAACATTCTAGAAATCTCATAAGGTTTTATATCAATTTGATAAATATTCCTTGGTTGATGTTTGCGGTTGCAGTAATTTCAGTCTGGCAGTTGAAGCGACAATTACTAAAAAAGCAGGTCTTTTTTGTACACTATGAATATAAATGTTTTTTTCCACAAGAGGACTAATATGATAGCTAGGAGAGAATTGTCAAAATACAGCAGGTTTTGCTACATGTTAATTGCAAAACAGTTTATTAAATATAGATATATACATTGTAATGGTCTAGAAGAACATTGCTGTCAAAATATAGTAGGAAGATTCGGATAAACGTTTTCTTTTTATCGAATAAAATATATTCCTTTGACATTTTTGATAGAAATACGAAAAATATATCGTGAAGATATTCAATAGCATAGATTTACCGACAGCATGAAAATGAAGCGACAAGACTAATGACTAAAGTAAAAATACATATTTAGTTTTGAATATACATGTCGTCAAATTATTAATGCTCCGCTGTCTGCAGCTTTCTTAAATATTAAAACTACTATCGCACAATACTGACTGAGCATCGCTTTTATGCGAATAGAACAGTAGCCGCTATTTACTAGCGACTAATATGAGCTTTGCGGTTTGGTTGTGGTAGTCCTGGGAAATCTTGGTGGCTATGGTTGGGCGTAATGTAATGGAGAGCGTTCTATTCTTTGTTCGTACTTGGCGCTATATTACTTATATGAACCAGTATAAACTTTTTTCAAGATGTTTTACAGCAATCAGGATTTGAAGTTGAGGATGGGAAGTGAAATAAAACATCCATGATATTGGAGAGCGCAAGGAAAGGCCATAGGAAATAAGGCCCTCCAAGGACCAATCAAAGGGCGCGCAGAAACGATATGTTATAATTTCTGGTCGATTTCATATCGACAGTTCGGTGATTTATTATAAATGAGTAACCTTTTAGATTTTGGACACATTAAAATTCAATTATTTTATATCCTGTAATCAAATGACATAAATATGATCTGTGTGAAGCGAGAGTAAGACATTATCATTTAAATTAACATCTCAGTGCTATAAAAAAATAAATTTAAGAATAATAATAGTGATGATTTTTCGTAAACACCGACGAATAGTGCTCAATACACATTTGTATAGAGCGGTATAAATTTAAGAATATTTATTTAGAATAATCGCGAATGAACTTTGGAGCCTTAATTATTTTCGAAAATTATAATGGTCTAAATAACTGCACTGACTTCTACAGTGCAAATTCGAAATTGCATCCTCGCGCCAGACGAAAACAAAATACCCTAGCCCACGCCTAAACGCATATAAAATATACTGTTGATATAACAGATAATATAAAACAGTCTAATTGAGCCTTCGAGTCCAGCTAAGCGCGTTCTTCATTCCGCTAGGTTCACAAAGGATTATGTTAGAGTGGTTTTTATCAGAAATGAAACAAAGTGCGAAAGAAAGTGCGATAACCGAAAATACAAAAGCAAAATATAGCCTGGTTTCACGAGAAAATAAACATAGGTATAATCCTATGTCAAGCGCTGTGCTTGTGCAATGCGCTCGCAGAATATCCATCAAATAATCCATACCCATTCATGCCAAATAATCCATACATGCTTCGTTCATAAAGCCATCGGGCGAGAACAAGCCACTCTCTTAAAATACGCTCGCAGAATATCCATCAAACTAGACCCTGACAGCAGGGTGTACTCGTGCCCTAAAGGCGTTTAAAAGTGCTGGCTATATTCAGTACTTTTTGCACAAGCACAACGCCAAACAAAGATCAAAAGTCTGCTGACGTACTACGAAGAAGACTCAAATATCTGAGCGTCAATCGATAACACCGAGATTGCTCCTGTGTTTATTAATCGTAAGGTTGAAAACCATCTCAAACACCGCGAAAGCAAGCCAGATGTTGTTAACAACCCATGCGTTATTTATCATTTTAAATGTGGTCTATGTGATATGAACTATACACTTGGATTTACAACGAGGCACTTRCATCCCGAGGTACATCCCGGGCTTACCCGACCCCGGGCTTACATCAGCGTAAAGAGGAACATAAGTCTCCATCATCGTTGATGAAAACATGTGATAAAGTTCATTTTATGAAATTAATGGTCAGCCACAGGGAGCACAATACACAGTCAAACTTTAAACAGGAATACAGAAATTTGTATAAGTGGTGAAAAAAGTATTTTTGTTTTGTAATTGATTGTGCTTATTGACAATGAGGAAGGATGCCAAGTAATTCCGGTATTTATTTCGGTCTGTGAAAATGTCTGAATTGATTTGCGCATGCTCAAACTCGCAAAACGTTTAAAGTCAAAGGAGACTAAATCAGACTTCCCACTTTTAACGGATGAAGTTGAAATCCTTCTATAAAAGTCATGTCAGATTCTAATGTTTGGGTCTTCAAGGCTCAAGGGCACATGGCCTCCCTTGAATCCTTGTCTACCCCGGCAGAGCTTCTTTCCTATACCACGGCGTCTCTTTCTCTGTGGCTTCTGGCCATCAAGCAACCGAGGTCTAGTACACCGTGGTGTCGGACTCTGCTCTGCCGTTTTAGTTTAGACTGAATGACTTGAAATGAATACATCTTTTGGCAGGAAAGAACTACGACATGTTAGATCTGTTAGATATTAGATATTTGTTGCGGAAGAATTGAGGTAACATGGGAAGTCTTCCAAACTGTTCTTGTTAATCCATCACCTAAATCTACCAGAAAGTTATGTCCAAATAATATATGCATTGATAGCTTGCAAAATATGATATCATTTACAGCTTATTTAACGATTGCGAAAATCTTACGTTATTACGTCTATTATAACACCAAAGAAAGCCCGTGGCACCACTATCATAACAACATCTCAATCTACTGCTTGTTTACTGTATAAATAGCCATTAATTCAAGAAAATTTTAAGTGGATCGAACCATGCTCATTCTTTATCACAAATAGATTAACCATAATGATATCCTTAATATTTTGGATGCATGATATAGTGGTGTTTTGCGAACATGTATACAAGGACATATAGCAATATAGCAATCGCTTGATAGTGGGTAGATGTAGTACGTATAGTTCAAAGAATGCTTGATTTGGATAGAGGATTCAAACTTACTAAAATGAAATGGATTAATCTCTATATTACTTGTTTTAGTACGTCCTGGTTTTATTTTAATTGTCAAATACGGCATTAATGAAATGCGTCTTAGCTTGTAGAGGGTAAATATTTTTGAAGTGAAGGAAGCGGGTCATTGTTACATGATAACTGAGCTCATGACGTCAAGAGTGTGTCAATAAGAGGACATACAACTTATCTTATCAGCCAATCAGCATTCGAGAATTGACACAAGTATGGAAAAGGACTTGATTGATTTCTTGGCACGCGCGATGTACTAAGAACCTAAATTTCGCTATTATGGGGCAATTTGTAGGTTATCTATAAAAGCATATTGTAAAAGAAATGTTGGATAGGTAGCACGGTACCTTGAACAATTTCTAAAATTTCTCTATGAATACGTCTTTGCAATTAGATATAAAGAGAGCAATGATATATTAAACTGCTCTGCTCTGCTCTGCTCTCTGTTTATTTCTTTTCCTTTTGTTAAGTGAGTTAACAATTCACGCGATGCATTTTTATCAGGAGCAAACATTTTGTAATTCTCATACGCATAAGTTATTTGTGATAGCATTGGTCTTCCTGAGATTTACCAGCTTGCCATTTCTTGACTTCTGGACGAGTCTGTCAGTTAAGCAGCGTTATGGAGATCTGTACGCGTTAAATAGAATTTTGCATTACCAATAAAGCAAAATTGGGTATCGAACTTAAAATAAATGTTTAGAAGGAGGGGGTTGAGAATCCAGGGGGGGACAAAAAATTAAATTTTATGTGCTTAAAGAGGGGGGGGGGCAACGTCTAAAATTAACTAGAACTTTAATTGGATACTGAAAACTCAGATTCTGTGCTTTTTGGCCAAATACGTATTGAAAACTTCTCAAGAAAAGATTGATAAAGATTGCGCGGTGCCTAACAATTAACTTTAAATAACTTGTTAAGAATTTCGTTATACACAGGTATATTATTATTAATACTTGTTGATTCTTCTGTGCAAAATTGATTTAACAAAAAGAGCTAAGAAGGGTTTTGCAGTCTTACCATACGCTAAGAACATCACAGAACGGGTCAAAAGAATTCTTCAAGACCACGACGTTATGGTAGCGGTGTAAACATGACAATAAACACCATCAAAAGCATGATTTCAAAGCCTAAGGACAGACTGGACGACTACGACAAAACCGGTGTTATTTATCAAATACCGTGCGCTGACTGCTCTACCGTCTACATTGGTGAGACCAAGAGATCTCTGAAGACTAGAGTTTCAGAACATGAAAGGTGTGTTAGTCTGCACTGTCGGAGCATGCCAATCGCCTTGGTCACAACATCAACTGGAAGGACACCTCCGTCTTAAGAAACGAGACAAGGTGGCACCAAAGGAAGTGGATGGAAGCAGTATTAATAGCAAAAACAAATAAGACACTGGAAGACCTCTGCCCGATAGCTACATCCAATTACTTAAAACCATTTAATTTGTCACATTTGCCCTAACAATATTTTTATACTGTCTTTCATTTGTAAACAGAGCGCGTGCGTATTGTACAGTTTCCTCGAGCGCTTTCAGTTAACTACGTTTTATTAGATCATCACGTGTACTACAACCTTGAAAATGTGTACTACAACCTTGAAAATGGCTGCTTAAGCCGAAAGCTCGGTTAAAAAATAAATCAATTTTGCACAGAAGAATCAACAAGTATTAATAATTTTAAATAACTTATTAAATTAATTTATAACAACCTTATAACTTATAACAGCCTCACTTAATATTATACCCAATCAAGAATAATATCATGAATAAACTGAAGACATTCTGACCGCTAACTTATGCTATATCAATAATTGTAATTCAACAACAGATTTTCCTCGTGATCTGATTGTTTATTAGTATTCGAATGATTTGCGATCTGTTGAGCAAAATCACATGACACTACCCATGATGCATCAGAAGTAATGACGTTAGCGGTCAGAATTTTTCCTAAGAATGTATTAAGTGAATGATAATATTGTCAATTATGTAAGCTACACGGTTGCCAATAATACTATATTATGTTAAAAATTATGATTTCTGAACAATAACAATGCGCTCGTCGAATGCATTTCAATCAAAAACCATACGATTCCGAGTGACAAAAAAACTTGATTTACCAAATAATATTTCAAAATACCTAAAACAATTCTTTGTTGGCAACCAAAATATAACGTTACATCCAACGCTCTCCCGACGTTTATTGAAATAGCATATATTTCCATTTTTTCGTCATTCCGCGCCAAAAAAAAACGTCAAAAAGGCATTTTTTCGTTATTCTTGTTTGTTATAATAAATATATCCGGCAAGATGCCACATCCCTGCTATTTTTTGTGTTCCCGTCAAAACACCGCGATAAGTTTATGACATGCGCAATGTAAAAAAGAGGTTTTCCAAATTCATTTTTCAAAGTACCTCACGTCAAAACTTCTCAATAGCAAGTTGACAGCACCATTTTTCTTCTCGAAATTTCCAACACTGCTTAATGCCAATGCAAATAACATTCGTCAAACTATTTTAAAACTTGGCACCAGCTTCATTCAATTTGACCCATATCCAAGAATGGAGCTGCTTTTGACATAGCGTAATCGACGGATTTCCCTTTGTAAGGTGAGTTAGAATTTATTTATACACCAAACTAATACATGTAGCTCAAATATTTAATAATCAAAACTCTGAAAAATAATTAAACTGGGAATTATCGGTTTGTTATAATTCAAAGTTTAGCTATGTTAGTGACTCCTTAATTGATATGTTAGATAGAAATACGAGGATATTGGCGAGGACCTAATGCGAATTGATGATTAAGTCTACTTTTTCGAACATTGATATTCATTAGAGATTTAGTAATGTAACTGCAACTTTTTTAAAGAAATTGTTTATGTTTTTCCTATCATAAAACTGAAAACAATCGGCAACTGGCAACAATCGATGTTAAAAAACATTGAATGCTGTGCAACGTATTTCTTAAGCAAGACCTCCTCGGTGTTTTTCTCATTCAATTAGTACCAATCTTTACTTAATTCAGTCCAAAATTATCTCAGAATGCATAAAACGGAAAGAATTATTGTTTTGCTGGTTTTGATATAGTACTATCATAGTACTATAATACAAATGTGTGCATCCGATTGCTCAGAGTCGACGTTTTATAGTAACGTACTCATCCATGCAACGCCTCCACAACACATCTGAGAATCTCCTACTATGGTCTTTGTATATACTGAAATGACGATTCCATTCGTACTTTGCACTTTTAATGTCAAGAAGCAGGTACGATTCGTTTTTGTTTATGCATGCTAAGTGTTGTTTTCCGAGACTGCTAATGATTTCATCCTCCCTTAGATTACGAATCTTACATCAAAATTCAAACAAAATACAAAAGTTTTTCACAATAAGTTGAATCAAGTGATTAACCTATTGCAAAATAGAAGTATCATCGTGAACAGAAAGCAAAAGAAGTTAAAAAAATGATTAGAGACTTAAAAACAAATCGTTGTATTTACATAAATACTTCTCAAATTCTGGTGGGACTTGAATAATTAATAGCATCGTTGTAACAACTCAGCGTCTTTAAAACGCTAAAAGAAGCTAAAAAGAAGTTAGTGATTCCTTTTCAAACTATCAACTTCTAGAGAGATTTCAGTTTAATTTTTGTAAGTTTTTTTGCATCAACATGGACGATTTAGAACCTTCGATCTATCAAGATGAGCTATCAAAAGCACTGCAAACACTGCAAACTTTGGAGAAAGAAAGAAAGGACATCGTATCAGGATTTATGAAAGAAAAAGAAATAACAGAAAAGATTCATAATGAGCAATTGCAGCAACTGAGACATAATTACAATCAAGAAATTCAGACGTTGAGAGAAGAATTTATTGATGACAAGGAAAACCTGTTAAGCAAAATTAAAAATGAGCAGGTGGAATACGACGCACTTCAAAGTGAAAAATCTAGAGAAAACGAAATAGCGATTGTCAACAAGTCAGAACAGGAGATAAAGAATATCGAAGAAAGTTTCAGAAATGAAAAACGGAAACTCCGTGAAGAGTACGAATCTGTTATTAAGGAAAAAACGAATGAAATTGAAGAACTTTACAACGAAAATTACATCCTTCGAACGAAATCGGACCCTCAATCGTTCGAAGATAGATATAAAGAAGCCGAGATTCAAATAAATAAGTTGAAAAGTGAAATAAATCGTCTGAAAGAAAATGTATCCGATGAAATACAGAGTTTAAAGGCTGAATATGATTTTGAAAGGTCCGAGATTGAAAGAAAACACGTCTTAGAAAAAGCGGAATTCGTTAAAAATTTAAATACAAAGTTCGATAAGCATCAAGAACATAATGTGATCGAAAAAAACAAGACGTACAAAAAGTACAGGAATGAGTTGAAAGAGAAAATTGAAATAGTGGAACAACTATGGGAAGATCGTAGCGCAGAAGAACGACTTAAAATGAATATGCGTTTTGAAAATGAAATTTCTGAGCTAAAAGCAAGGTTTGCTCAAGACCTTGAAGAGAAGCTTCTAGAAAGAGATAGTACTATCGAAAGCTTAGAAAATGAGAAGGATCATTTGTTGAACGCAATTCATGTAGAGAGATTTGAGCTTGCAAAATTTTATAATAGAGAATTATCTCTTCTTAACAGACTGGATTCAACTAAAGAAGACATTGAAGTTGCACTTATAGATGAAGTTGCAAAGTTACGTGATGAACAGCAGAGGGTAATCCGCAACATGGAAAAAAGACACAAGAGAAAAGTGAACGACTTAAAAAAGAGGCAAAAGCCTTTGGAAGAAATCTTAGAACAGCACAAGAATGACTTGGATGACCTTAAAAGCCAATATGAACGAGAGAGGGAGGACTTTGAAGCCCAATTACGGAATGAACAGCTTATTCTCTTAAAAAGTTTTGAGTTTGAAAAGAGTGACATAGAAAGATATTACAAGCAAGTAATTGAAGATAGAGAAAAGGAGTTCAAAGAAGAAATCGAAAAAATCCAAAATGAACATAAAAAGGAGATAGAACAAATGGGAACACTCGAAAAAGAAAATAATGAGATAAAGCAGCAGCTTTCTCATCTGAACGATAAAAACAACGAATTGGCTGACAAAATAGAGATGTTTGAGAGCCAGAATGCAAGACTTCAAGAGGAACTTGAAAAAGAAAGTCGAAGTAAAAGGGAACAGCCCGATAAAACTGAAGAATCTTCATCGGATTTAAAGAGAACTATCGAAGAGATAAGCAAGTCAAACATCGATCTAGCTAACCAGTTAGAGAATGAGCAAAAGAAATGCAAGGAACTTTTACAACGCACCCATGAGCTTGAAAAATTACATCAAGATTTTTTGAGGAAAATCGAAAAAGATGAAATTCAGGAGACTTCAACTGCTGAAGAATGCATGGTTCCTTCATTCGACGACGAAAAGGGACAAATGGATATTGATGATTCGAACAGATTTGGTGTTGTCCAAAGTAATGTACAGAAAGATCATGAAAATAAAATCACCAATTTACAGGGAAAGACACCAGAAGAAAAGGAAATAGAACTTCAAGACAATCTACAAGAATACCTTCTTGAGCTAAAAGCCTTGCAGGAGACATTGGATTCTAAAGACACGGAAATCAGAGCATTGAAGGAAGAGAATGAGAGGGAAAACAAACTACTAAAGAAAACTATGAAAGACTTTAGGGATGCCGTTAATGCAGCACTTGTCGGAGATGAAGCAGAAGAGACTTTAGAAGTCTTCAAGTCACGCCATAAGGTGGTAAAAGACCTAATAAACAGAGAAATCAAGGATATTCAGGGCCTTAAAGATAAGGAAAGTAACGAGGAGAGAGCTCATAGTGACATAGATACTAATGCAAACACTTTTATGGCTAATGTGAATGCCCTAGATGAGATAATCAAAGCCTTTGATGAAAATAAACAGCAGCGGCTAAGAGAAAGATTGACATCACTCAAGGAAGGAATCCTAATTTCACATGATCTTGAGATGCTTGAGAGTCAACAAAAGCACGAACAGGAAAAGAATAATTATCTCAAAGAATTAGCCTACGAGAAAGGAAAAGAACTGAAATTTTCTGAAAAAGTGTTTGAAACAGTCTGTGAAGAAATTGGAGTAGATTCAAACGAAAGGAAGGATAAACTTAAAGAGATTTTAGAAACCGACCGTCAATCAAAGGATGAAAACAATTCAATAGAAAATCAATCAAAAGATTTCGAAAACGAAGAACTAGAGAAGCTCAAAAACGACAAGGAGGAGCTTGAGCTAGCCATTGTGGAACTCGAAAAGCATTTCAACAAAGAAAAAGAGAAACTTCTTAAAAAGATGCAGACACAACATAAGGAGTTTGTTCTTTCTCCAGAAGCAGAAGTCATTGAGGCACTGACCAGGGATAAGGCTATACTTGAAGAGGCCTTCAACATTGAGAGATTTAGCCTCGGTCGTCTTTACTACATGGAAATGCAAGATGAACTCGACGAACTCATGAAACAAAAGATGGAAGAGGTAGAGGGTGAAAAAGCTGACATCATCTTTAAGTTTAATGAGGATATAGCTGAACTATTACAAACTATAGCAGAAAAAGATGAAAATGAAGTAGAATTGATCAAGGACAAAAATGCATTGACAAGAAAGATGCTATCGCTAAAGCGAAGAGCAGATGACGATGACGTCAAGAAACTTGAAGAAGGCATGATCGATGATATGAAATACGAGGCCGACAAGCTAGAAACAATTATACCATTGAAGAAAGAAATAGCTGAGCTACAACGAAAGAGGCAGCAAGAACATGAATCAAACAATGAAAATCTTAAAAAAGCTGTCGATGTTATAAAAGGCCTGCTCAGCCAGAAAGCCAATGCACGTGAAGGTGAAAAACGACGGCACAGTTTTGCCAGCACTGGAAGCCAATACGAAAGTATTCTCGACGAACAGCACTTTCCTAGTGGGAGGGAATCACGTACCTCATTAAAAGATTCCACAGTACCACAGTCGAACTATGGAGATCAGAATGCAAGAGAATTGACACCAAACAGTACCCACAATCTAACACTGAGCCCCTCAAGACCTAAATCAGCTCAGTCTTCTGAATGTACAGATGAAATACATGAATCCCAAGATGAAAGTGGCAATACGTCCACTGGTGTTCCTACTTCTAATGAACATGCAGGTCTTATTAAAGATAAAAGAGATCTATTAGCAGCATTAGAGACTCTTATAGACAGTGCGTTTGCAGTAGAGAAAACGTATGAATCAGACACTTCATCAGGAGCGATTTCTGACTTTGAATCTGAACCTGCTACACCTAAGCCAGAAAGTGAGGATGGAGTAACTGACTCAGGAGCAGAATCAGTTGACAACGAATGCCTATCAATCAAAAAGTCTGATCTTGAGCTCGCTTTAAACATGGAAAGATTTGGCCTTGGAAGAGTATATTATAATGAATATAGAGAGAGTCTGCAAGACGCGTTCAAAAAGTTAGCCAGGGAGAAGGGCAAGAATGAAATTTTAGAAAACAAGCTGAACGAGGGTGTTAAAGATCTCGTGAACAGGACAAGCTTTGGTAATTTGTCAGCAATGTCAATGGAAGCAGAAACACAGACATGTTCCGACAGTCTTGTTGAACAGATTTCTACACCAGCAGTAAAGGAAACTCCTACTGGTTTACAGCAAGGTGTAAACATAGAAGAAAATTCTAAAAAATTAGGTAAAGGCGACCTAAATCCTGATGAAAGCATTGATAAGGTTGTCGAGTCAAAACCGTCTACTGTCGAAGAAGATATCCTTACGTCTAAGTCGCATGAAATGGAAAACACACAACATGCTGAGACGCAGACAGATTTTTATGTAGAGTCTCCTAACGTTCAAAAGACTGAGAGAGCAGAAGCCCCTAAAATTGAAAAACCATTCGTGGAAGATATTCAAGAGGCTCGTATACGTGCCGCAGAGAGCGCTCCGTGGCTAGGATCAGGCATTGGTGATCTTTTTGAAGGTGAACCAGAAAATCAGTCTGGTAAAAAAAGAGAGAATCATGAAGAGATAAACGATGGACAACAACAAGACAATGTAAAAGATAAGGACGAAGACATATACGAGCAGGAAAAAGAAATAGGCGATGACAAAAACTTGAGCAAATTGAGAGTCAAAGAAAAAGGCGATGACGAATATGAAATTGAGAAAGAGAACCGACGTGCGGACGCGGAACGTCAAGAAAAAGACAAAGATTTAGATAAAGGCGAAAAAGAAAAGGATATAAACAAAGACCAAGAAAAACTTGGCACGAATGACGAAAATACAGAAGAGGAATTATTTTCACCTAAAGACGAAAGCGCAAAAAAAGATGAAAATGCTGATGAGTCAAACAGTACATCAGTCATTTCCAAAGCAAAGGAGATTCCTAGGAAAGATGTTGACGACGAATACATAAAGGATGAATTATCTTCGCAAAAAGAAGATGACGTTTATGACGAAGAAAGAGAAAGTTCATCGGACCAGATTCCTGGGCAAGATGAAGATGGCAAAGATTCTGAAGATGACAACAAAACCAATGGCGGAATCACTGATATAAACGATGACATAACAAAAGATCACCTTCAAGAGTACAAGAAGTTGAAAAACAATTATGACATTTTAAAAGCGCTTGTGGGTAAAGGATTTGTCGAAGAAATACCGGAACTCAATGAAGCGAAAGTTATTGAAGATTACAATGACATTGATGAACATGATTTAAAAGGATTAGTTGAAGAGGAGAAGAACATTGCAACGGACATTAAGTCAATAGAGAAACAAATAGCCACTCTTAAAAGCATGAGTGACCCGAATGTAAGAGAAGCAGAGAAAAAATTAAACGAGAAAGAACTAGGTGTTTTGAATGAGTTAGAAAAAATAAGGCATGCTCTACAAAATGAAGAAGAGAAAGATTTTATTGAACATCTCAAAAAGGAAAAAGACGAAGTAGACAAAAAGTTAAAGGAAATAGAAAAAGAGTTTGAAGAAAATATGAATGAAATCGGTGATGAAGAGAAAGTGCTTCTTGACATGACGTCCAAGAAGTTAGATTTAGAGAGTGAAGTTGCCAAGAAAGCAAATGAGCTTGACAAAAATCACAAGAAGTTCAGGGAGCTCCAAGAAAAAACCGATGATCGAAATCTAGAAGAAGATATTGCAAACTTTAAAAAACAAAATGCCGCTCTTCAAGATTTACTACAAATTTGTTTTTCAAAGCATAACACCACTGATCAAGATCCCACCAATGATTTATTGGATGATGTCAATGTGCAGGCCCCTCCATCATTACAGTTCAACAAAGTTGATAAACCCGAAGAAACAATGTCCGATTACATTGGAAACATTTTGAATAATCATACCTGGAATCCAAAAGCAAGAGCTATTTTGAAAGAAATGTATGACAAGGACCGAAGTGCAGCCATGGCAGCCAAGAAGTTGAAACAAGCACAACGTGATAGAGACAGGCTCAACAGAATGGCTCAAGACCAAGTTGATAGATTAAAACCCTTTCTGAAAAAGCAAGAAAGATTGCAAGATGCACTTGGTAAAGACATCGATCAATCCATCACAAGAACAACTATTTCTAACGACTTTGCACCATCACGAGATGAAGACAATCAAATCAAAGCTGGCGAAGTGCAAGAACAGGAACAAACCCCTCCTTATTACAAGGATAAGGGAACAAAAGAAGGCAGAGAGTATGACGAAAGTAATCCACAAGAGAGTTCTGACTATACAAACCTTAATATAGATTCAATTGCGAAAGAATGCAATGATATCAAAGAAAAGCTCAGCAATGTAAATAATGAAATCGAGGCGCTTACGAATAAAGCCTTGCAAAGAAATTATGATCCGAGAAATAAATCTCTATCAGGCCACATTCAAGAATTGGAGGACAAAGCTGCAGAAATTTGTGTTCAAATAGACAAAATAAAAGCCGATGGTTTAGGTGGGGAAGCAGATCATGACGCCCTTTACAAAATTCTTAAAGAGAAAGCCGCACACGAATTCGATTGTTCAGAATTACTGTCGATCTTACCAGAAGGTTTTCAGTATTTACCAGAAGACATCGAAAGCCTGTTTGGACTAGCTTGCTTGAAAGATGATCTTGAAAAAGAATTAAATGATCTTGAGAAATCCATTGACGAGGAAGAAACATTCTACCAAATAGCAAGAAAGTATAAGAGAGAAGAAACCTCAGAAGAATGCCACCCCAAATTTCAGGAAATTGTACAGAAAAAGAACAATAGTTTGAAGGAGCTAACTGAAATTTCAAAGGAGATAGCAGACGTCTTACAAAAAGAGATAGCATCGCAAGAGGTAGAGAATGCAATGAAAAAGAAAATAGAGCTTGAGCAACTTGTGGATGAAACACAAGGCGAGATCGAGCAAGAACCCTTGCGAGCTGCTGATAGGATTAATAACTTAATCAAGCTTAAACATCAAAAAGAGTATGATTTGGCCCAAACGACAAATAGACTAAAAGAATCAAAAGAAAAAGTAGACCTGGGTGGCGTTCCGACTTCAGTTTCTTCTGCAATCTCCTCAAAATGCAACGATGTAAAAGACAGTACGACGGACAAGTACATAAGAGATCTGGAAAATAACATCGAAGAAACTGCCTCTGAGATCATAAATTTAAATCAGCAATGCATGAATACCGAGTGTGAAGAAGATAAGCTCGCACAGTTATTTGAGAAGCACAAACCATCATTGAGAACAGACACAAAAGCTGTCAACGACGATGTTCTTCCACTTCCGTCCGTTCTTGATGACTTGCAAAGTGTGAAAAGGGATATCAAAGAATTAGAATCTAAATTGGATAACAAGAAAAACTCGCTTAGTGAAGATAAAATTGAGCAGTTGCAAAATCTCGAAATGTTGATAAAGGCAAACCACAACAGTGCGAAGGAAGAAGAACTATTCAGTAAATTAAGCGATCTTGATAAAAATAAAAAAGAGCTGCAAAAGATTCTAAAAGACAGCAAATTAAAATTGGACTTATTAAGCGTCACAAAAGTGGTCCAAGAAAAGGAGAAAGACATAAAGCGTCTTAAGGATAATATTGAGYTCTTGGATGTTTCTTTAGCAAACATCATGGACGACGTCAATAATAACGCGCATGACGAAGCAGACTTCGAAAACACGATAAAAGAAGTTTTAGCCGAAGCACAGACAAAACTTGAACAAGCTGAAAAAGAAAATGAAACGAACAACCAAATACGCCAAAATGCAGAAAATGAACTAAAGGATGCAATAAGTAGTTTAGAAGATGAGCTTGAAGAAAACAGGGAGGAGCTAGAGTTTCTAGAAAATGAACTGGAGGATAAAGACATACGCCCAGAGGAAGACAACAGCTCCTTATCACCAGAACTTCTTCACATGATCGCTCTCCTTAATAAAAAGAAAAGCCTTGAGGACTATCTCTTTGAAATCGATACAAAGCTCAGCTCTGTTGACAGCAACAAAGAGCCCATGGAACATGCTGAAATTGACTCTCTACGAGCCAAGAAATGCGAAGCAGAAAATCAATTGTCAAAGATCCAAGAGGAAAAATCCAAGTTTGAAGTAAAACTTCCAGACGATGAAATACAAGAAACCTTTGATGCCTTATGCGACGAAAAAAAACAGCTTGAAGACCAGAGGAAAGACGTGATGCAGAAGATTCGCAACGGAAAGAACTTCAGTAGAATTTCTTTTGACACGGAGGATGAAAAGAAACCAAGCGATGAAGACAAAAAGTACTTTATCCATGCACTGAACGAAATGATTGCTGGTCCAAAAACCCTCATTCAACTAGCTGAAGAGAACGACAGATTAAAAGATATAGCTTTCAATCAACGATCTCAGATAGAGGATGTTAATGATCGTTTGACTGCATCTCTCGGTGATCAGCTTTCGAAGGCGGTATTATCGTTGGATTGTGGCAAAGTGCAAGATAGTAATATACCAATTATTGATAGAATCAACGATGGGCAAAAGATGGGTGATATTGTCAAAGATCTAAGTAATGAAAACAAAAATCTAAGAAATATCAACGATGAACTTTTAAAAGACCTGGAATGCCTCAAAAATAGCATAGGCCAGAATCTCGCGGATTTTCTAATCAGTCCCGAAGACTGCTTGAGCGATTCCTTGGGACCTATACAATATGTCCTTGAGACAGAATGCACCATACAAGAAATCTTAGAAGAGCTGAAAAATGACATTGAAAGAGCAAAAGAAGCACTGGGTAAGAATATAGCAGACTTCATAATGTCTCCGGCTTCAGACAATCGCTTGAGTGTTGAATTTAGCGACGTCCCACAAGCTTTGACAATTATGAAAGACAATGACGACGATCTTGAATCAGTAATCGTAGCATATGAAGATGAACTTCAGCATCTTGGGAAAGAAAACTACGCTTTGAAAAGCATGTTGGGTAACGATCTTTCAAAGGCATTATTGCAGATCGGTTCAGAAAGCAAACATGATTTCAAGCCCAACGCAATCCTCTCAAGTAGAAAACAACCAATTTCAGAAGGAACAGAAAAGATACATGGCCAATACAATTCAGAAGAATTCCAGGAACAAGAGCTAGCTAAGAAAAGATATGATGAGCCATCACGATTTACAAAGTCTAAAAAAGATGGAGAAAGAGAATGTGGGGATAGCATCAACAGCGATAGCATATCAAAGGATTCTATTGGAGAACTTGAAAACCAGATAGAAAAACACCCTAAGGACAAAAACGTAGACTTCAAGGCACCTGAGATAAAATACAAGAAAGATGAACAAGAAAAAGAGAAGCTTCCACTTTTCCATTCAAGAACAGATTCGAGTCAAAAGTCCATAGATGACAAGGAAGAATGGAAGCCAGTCAGTAAGCCCGATTGTGCACACAACAAACAACACGCTAGCACTCTCCAGGAAACCGACAAGGAGATTGTGGTAAGAGAAGAAGTAAATACGGAATGGAGTCCTAGAATTACAAATCCAAAGGTTGATAATCAGTTGTTAACAAAATGTGGAATTGAAGCACCTATTCGTATGACCGAGAATGGTATGTCATTAGGAGAAATAATAAAAGGATATGAAAACGATTTGGAGACTCTTAAGTCAAGATTGGGTCCCGGATTATATGAATCCATACTTGGTGCTTGTAAGCCAAACACCCTTCAGAAGTCTGTCTTTGGTATTGCTCCTGAGGAAAAACTACAGTCTGCACGCGAAGCAAAAGGGAAAGAGTCACAAGACGTTCAAGGGGAAAATAGCAACAAAATAAAACCAGCAGTTTCAAATGTACTTGAAAGTCAGAATGTTTTGCAAGACGGGGAGGACTCACAAGAATCTCTTGATATTAAGATCAAAGAAGACATTGGTAAAGGCTTCAAAGATATAAAGGACAAAGAATGCCTTAAGCAGCTGACAGAGGTTGAAAAACATCCAGACTCTAGAATGTACAGCTATAGCCTTTTAGAAACGCCACAACATAAAATGAGAGATATGGACATTACCCTGGAAGATGTACTCGCAGAATATGAAGATAAGCTCGAGCTTCTTGGAAGAGAAAATAACGCTTTAAAAAGCATGTTGGGTAATGAGCTTGCGCAGGCATTGCTAGAACAAAACAGGGAGAGTGAAAAAGACTTAAAGCCCATGTTAGGCAAAACAAGTGACAACAATATTAATAAAACAAAAGTAGATTTTAAAGAACCAGTGTCGACGAGTAATGGGGGTAATGAGCCAATTGAGGAAACACTTCCACTCTCTGTAAGATTGAAGCCAAAAAGAATGTCCAAAAAAGACAATGTCGAAACTAACCAGTACAAGCTTAGTGCGTGTGATGATGAACATGGTATAGTAACTGAAAGTGACTTCCCGGAAAGTGCTAAAACTGAAAAAGGGGTGGTAAACATTTCAGACAAACTTCTTATTCCAGACGAGGAAAATCCGTTGCTGGAGCAATGTAAACTAAAGGCACCCATTCGGATAGCTAAGGACAAGTTGACATTAGGAGATATACTAAAGGAATATGAAAGCGATTTGGATACGATAAAGTTACAACTGGGTCCAGGACTTTATGATTGTGTACTAGATGTTGGTAAAGTACTTGAGGGTACAACTCTTTCCACAGAGAATAAAAACGAAAGGCCACCAGAGAAAGAAGATAAAGATATGTTGCAGTCAAATGAATATAATGAAATATCAGGAGTTCAGAGAGAAAGTGAGGGTCAAGATCTTTTGAATCACAGAAAGAGTGGTCAAAAATTACTTGATGTCGATGTTAATGATGTTTTCCCTGATGCTCAGAGCAAAGGATTTGTTGTAAAACCCGAAGGGTCTCATGTACTCCCAGACGCAAGCAATGCCAGTGAAGACGTAATTGTAAAATCTCCTAGACAGAAAATGATGGATGACGATATGACACTTGAAGACGTCATCAAGGAGTACACAGGAGATCTGAAAACTTTAAAAACACAAATTGGGCCAGAGCTGTATAAGTCTTTATTAGATACATCTAGACGAGATGATGAACTTGATAAAAAAGATCAGTTTATCAAAAATAAGCCAACTATTGACACTGGGAATTTTGAAGACAATGGACATGCTCTCGAGAAGGAAATGTTTTCCAAAACATCTACTTCACCTCCAAAAACAAATAGAGATGACGACCTATCTAAAACTGGAACGGAATCTTCTACAGTCGAGGATATCAAGACACAAAATGTTAAAGTGCCATATGAAAAGATAGCCAGTAAACAAAGCGAAAGAGTTGCAGATCAACAACGACGTGAAAGCTCATTAGAGCCAGGAGAGATTACATTGGATAACGTCAAATTGTACGGTAGCGGAGAAGTAAAAAAAGGTGATTCTGATGAAACGGGTTCATTGGAATCTGGTGAAATTATTGATCTAGACGTCAATATTGATATTAGCCTTCAAAGTGACGGAGATATGCTAGCTCCACTTCAAATGAAACAGCAGAATAAAACTTTACAAGAAGTGGTTAAAGGTTATGAACATGACTTGAAAACTCTCAAGGCGAAATTGGGACCAGAACTTTTCAAAGGCATCGTTGACACTAAACGTTCGGCTTCTAAGCCGCAATCAGATTACAAAACTGATCTTCAGATTTCGAAAGACATTCCTTGTGATGGAGAGGGACAGTTTCGTCCAAATGATATCAAAGAGATTCCTTTCAGGGACAAACAATTTGAAAAACGTTCTCATGGTGCTACATTAATTGAGCAAGTAACACCAGAAGAGAAGAGACGCCCTATCAGTTCTAAAGAAATACCTCTTAACGAAAAAGCTAAGCCATCTTTACGTGGAACTAATGAAATTTCTGAAGACACAGTTCACCAAGACAAACGCAGTTATTCGGAGCCCAGCACTGAACACATTAAACCAAGTTTTGATTACACAATGGTTGATAGACTTGAATATGATGCAAAAACTCTTGGGCAAAGCGCACCTTTGAACGTTTTGGATTCAGTTGAAAAACCGGAAGGAAACATGCAAGAAAGTCTTCAAGGGATCAACATACCAACTGCAGGACCATCATCAGAAGCGGATGAAAAAAGTTTCCCTAGTCCTATTAGAGCAATAGAAGTTGTAAAACAACCAGACAAAACTCTACAGGACATAATTGAACAATACGAACACGACCTCGATATTCTGAAATCGAAACTAGGACCAAATCTAGCGAAAGCAGTTGTAGACTCAGAAAGTAAGAAATATAAAAAGGGAAATGATGAAAATCAACCACCCGACGTCAAAATTTGTGATCAAGGACCGGTCTCTTATGATATCTTGTCGGAAGATAAACAAAGGAGTAAAAAAGAAACCCGCGAGGAAAAGGGCATTTTAGAAGTCAACTCAAATGAGCAAATTGACTATTGTGAAGAAAAGAATATAGATGTCAAGAGAAAATCTGTCACACAAGGGATGCCGGAAAGCAATCTAAAGATCATAAAGCAAGATGACACGGTCCATACAATAGAAATGTTAGATGACATGACATTGGAGGATATCATCATTAATTTAGAAAATGAATTGGATTGTTTGAAATCAAAACTGGGTGCTGACTTGACAAAACTTCTATTGGAGGATAGTGATAAAAACAAACTTAAAATTCCGGGAAAAAAAGTTGCAGATAGCAAAGAAAAAACGATGTCCTCTGAAGTCCTTGACGAGCAAAACATGCACCCTGAACCAACTTTATTAGAATCAAATTTAGGAGAAAAAGCCCAAAGAAAGTACTCGCAGGAACCAACTCAAGAATTAGAGAACAATAAAGGTAATGCACAAGAAAACATTGGATCCGGTTCCCATGAGAAACCAATTATGGCTAAAGGCAATGTCGTAGAAGGTGAGAGAAGGGGAATAGACGATGAAGAAGATAAAAGGCCACTAAAATATGCAAATGATCAGAGGGGAGAGAGTATTAATGAAGTAGCAGCTTGTTTTGAAGACATTCAATCGAAAGAAGCGGATACTAAGCAACACCAAAAAGATTGCATGTCAGTTAAACGTTTATTAGCGACCGACCTCATGAAACAGCAGAGCACTCCACTTCAAGAAATAATTCAGGAATACGAAAATGATCTGTCAGTTCTAAAGAATGCACTTGGATCCACATTATCAGATATGATTCTTAAGAAAAATGAGGTAACTGAACAAATACAAGATGAAATTTTACAAACAAGTGGATATGAAGAAAAAGAGGGCGACCTTTCAATTTCTGAACAGAGTGATGAATCTAAAAGGAATACTAAGCCACCTATTGAGTCCTCCTTAAGTACCGAAACAATAATTCGTGATTTTACAACACCTGATCAAACGGAAAAGCTGAAAGATACCCAAAAATATATAGAGAAAGCACAGTTAGCTGACGGTACAGATAAATCGAAAGCGGAAAGGAGTGGAAAGTTGTTGGATGAGGTAAAAGGCAAAGAAGACGAAAAAATTGCTCCTACAGATAGTGATGGCAATGTACAGAAGACGGGGAAACTCATCAACGAGCCAACTCAACATGGTTCAGATTCATTACAAAACGCGCTATTGCCTTATATTACCGGGAATGGTAAGGTTACGATTGAAAACATTATAGAAGACTTGACTGACGATCTAACAACTCTCAATAAAAAACTTGGACCAGACTTGACTCAGAGTCTGCTCGCCATGAGGACTGATCCAAGCGCAGCATTACCTGATTCTCAACGCGCTGAAGTCAGTGCATCCCACGAATATAGTGAAGGTAATAATGAAGACGAATCGGAACTCGATAAATCAACGACAGAACCATTAACGGAGGTTGATGACAAAATGGATATCATGCATCTTAAAGCGACAGAATTTCTTAGAAAACCAGACAAAACTCTACAGGGTATCATTGAACAGTATGAAAACGAACTCGAGATTATAAAATCTAAACTAGGACCAAATCTAACAAATGCGGTTTTGAACTCTGCTAGCACAGAATATGAAAAAGACAGTGATGAAATTTGTAATCAAGTCCCAGAGCTTTGTGATATTATGGAAAAAGATAAGCAAGGAGACAAAAAATACATCCAGAAAGGAAAACACATTCTAGACAAGAAACCAGAAAAACAAATTGACAATTCTGAAGAAAGTGATAATAGAATACCATTCACACAAGACATGCCAGAATCAAGTCTGAAGATCAAAAGTTCAGATAGCATAGATAATACAATGGAAAGGTTAGAGGATATGACATTGGAGGATATCATAAGTGATTTAGAAATTGAATTGAGTTGTTTGAAGTCGAAACTTGGTCCTGACTTAACTCAACTTCTACTGGACGACAGTGATGACAAAAAAGGTAAAATTCTGGAAAAACCTGATGTAACACAGGATAAAGTTTTTGAAGTGACATCATCTGAAGTCTTAGATCAGAAAGACAAGCGCACTAAATCGTTTGTACTTGAATCGGACTTAGGAGAAGACGACCAGCAAAAATATTCACAGAAAATAATTCAAGAATTAGAATTAGAAGACAACAACTTCCAGAGAAATCTTCCACAGCAGTTTTATTCAGGTTCGCCGCCTAAAGAAAGCAATTTACAAAGAAACTTGGGATATCAGTTCCGAGAGCAGTGCTCCATGGACCAAGACAATAATGCAGAGCAAAGGCGAAAAGAATATAAAGATGAGGCTATGCAAATTAAATCTGAAGATAACAAAACTCGAGAGGACCACGATGATACATTAACTTATGACATAGGTACTCCTTCAAAAGACAGAGATATCAAGCAAAGGCTGAAAGATGATGTACAAGTTAGTCCTATATTAGCAACTGAACTGATGAAACAGCACAACTTTCCACTTCAAGACGTAATTCAGAATTACGAGAATGATCTTTCAGTTCTAACGAATGCCCTAGGACCAACTTTATGTGATATGATACTCAAGAAACATCAACCTAATGGAGAAACACACGGTAGAGTTACAGACACAGGTAAAGATGACGGAAAAGAGGATGAAGCCAAGATGAAAGCAACACCATCTATTGAGCCTTCCTTAGATACTACAAAATTACTGCTTGAAGCAACAGACCCTATTCCAGTTGACAAAAGCAAAAAAGAGAAAGCGCATTTGGATGACAACAAAGATGAAGCTAAAGCAGAAAAGAAAGGGCAGTTGTTGGATGAGGTGAATGTAGAAAAAGACGCACAAATTACTCCTACAAATGGTGATGACCGTGTCGAGAATGAGGGAGAAGCCATTAATGAGCAAGCAAAACATAGGTCAGACATATTGCATAAAACGCTATTGCCGTATTTTACTGGGGATGGTGACACGAAAATTGAAAATATCATACAAGATTTGAGTGACGATCTAAGAGCTCTCAATGAAAAACTTGGTCCAAACTTGACACAAATCCTTCTCTCTATGAGCAACGAGCCAAGCAAATCACCAGACACTCGAAGTACTATTGTCACCTTATCTCAAGAAGACAATGAAGGAAACAATGAAGAAATCTATATTGAAGCAGAAGCCAATAGTTATGAAGGAAAGATTCAGGGATCAGACAATGGGTCTCAAGTCAACGATAAATCCAGCAAAGAAAAGAAAGCTATCGAAAGCTTATCACAGATAAAAATAGAAGATAAATCAGAGGAAGCAGAAGCCATTGATCTTGAAGCTCTTGCTCATATATCAGAAAAGGATCAGACCCTCGAAGAAATAATAAAAAGATATGAAGATGCGCTTGATAGGTACGAGTCCGCATTAGGACCTCATCTTTCGTATGCAATATTATCGTCTGAGCAGCTGCTTGGCACTGAAAACGAAGAGAAAAGGAAAGGACACCTAAAGTGTGATGATAATATTGAAGAGGACAAACCCGTTAAAGAAGAAAAAGTAGATAAGCTTGAGGAGAGCCATGAACATGCAATGGACGAAGACGAAGACGTCACCTCCTCTGAAAGTCCTCACAATTTCACTTCAAAGGATGAGGGCCACTGGAGAAAATTTGTGTTTACCAAGGTTAAGGATGAAGAATTTCCTTTAGAAGACAAAAATCTCAAAGAACCAATAACGTTCTTAAACGAAGGCAAGACACTTGAAGACATGTTATCTGATTATGAAAATGAACGCGAAATGTTTAGATCACTTCAAAGTGGCGGTGGAATTCCGCTTTCTTTGAATGACATTACAGAAACTTACAAGAAAGAAATAGAAGAGCTGGAAAGTAAGAATGATAAGATGCACAAAGATTTGAACGCATTAAATGAAAAACTAGGCCCTATATTGTTCAATAGGCTTAGAGAACATCAGAAATCTGACGAAGGAAACTACGATGTATCACTTGAAGTAAATGAAAAAGGACTGGAGAGTGACACTAAACTTCCATTGGTATCTGACACCTTAGAGATAGAAAAAGATGAGAAAGGGGCAACTACGAAGATAGATGAGCAATCCGATGAAATAGAAAAAGCTCTGGATAAGTCAATAAAACTAATAACTCAAGGCAAAACAGTACAAGACATATTAATTGAGGGCGAAAAAGAGCGAAACATCCTTGGTTCTATACAAAGCAAAGATGGAGTACCAATTTCAATCGATGATATTAAAGAAGCTTATAAGAAGGAAATCGAACAATTAGAGGGAGTAAATGCTATAGTTAATACCGAATTAACCATTTTAGATGCTAAACTCGGGACAAAATTGTCTAATCAGCTGAAGGGGAGACCAAGGGGTACCCCAATGATAGACCAAGCGGGAATTAATATACCAGAGAGTCAAAATGTTAGAGATACAGAAGCTGCTACTTCAACAGAGAAAACTATCGATGTGTCCACGAGTGAAAGGACAGTTCCGCTTGACGTGAACTTAGTAAAATATGAGAATACGATTGAAAGTTTACAAAAAGGAGAAAAACAAATTGGGAAAGATCAAGAAGAGGAAAGAGAGAAAGCAGAAGGGAAATATATTGAACATTCGTCATTGGAAGCTCCGATTATTATGGAACAGCTTGACCAGACACTAGAAGAAGTAATTGCTGATTACGAAACACAACTTAAAGAAATGTTGACAAATCAAGAACAACTGAAAACAGAACTTGATACCTTAGAACTGAGCATCGGACCAAAACTTTTTAAAGAACTTTGTGAGTTGAATATACAGGAGGTGGACGATAACAGGAAAACAGTGAAGATAGAAGATGAAAAGCTAATTGAATATGAACCACAGCCGAAGCAAGATATTCATGATAAAGATGCCGATAATGTCAAAATAAAACACGAAAAGTCTGATTTTGAAGCAATCAACAAGATGGCAGAAGAGGATAAGCCATTATCAAGCGTACTAGATGATTACCAGGGTAAATGTCATTTCTTTGAAAGAGAAAACGCTTCATTGAAAAATGCCTTAAGCGGCTTATCTGGTGATCTCGACGTTGGACAACTTATCTCAAAATATGAAAACAAGATTCAAACGCTTGAAAATGCCAACAAGGAAGCACAGAAGGAATTTGAGAACAAGCACAATGAGTTACAAACTGAAATTGACGACCTAAAGGATACTTTGGAAAAACTTGCACAAACACTCCGCCAAGATTTCTTGGACGATCTCATGAAACAGCAAGATAGCGAAAATCGCATTCAAGCTCTTCAGAAGATGGAAAAAGAAAACAAGACTCTTGCCGAAGTTGTTGAAGAATATGAAGATAATATGAAAAGGCTTGAGAAAGAAAAAGCCGTCTTGGAGCAGCTAGCAGGTCAAGGTGATGATGGTGTCTCGATGCTGGACAGGATGAATGACTATGAAGATTCCATTCAAAATCTAAAAGATGTTAATAAGATGCTTAACAAACGCCTTGATGAATTTAGTGGAAAACTAGGGCCTAAACTGACAGACGAGTTAATAAAACTTTCTTTGATAACGGACAAAGAAAGTGAAAAATTGAAAGATGACGAGTTCAAAGACTGGTTTCCTGCTGTTAAGAGAATGAAAAAAAGCAATGATACTTTAGAAGAGGTTTTGGCATGCTATGAGAGCAAAGAATCACCAAGTCCTAATGACGTCATCTCAAAATTGAAGGAAAAAATAGGAGAGCATTTTATTGACGACATCAATGATCTTGATAACCAAAGTATTGAGGAGCTTATTAAAAAAGACAAGAGACCAATTGCGCTATTGATAATGAAAAAACGCAACGAAAATCTTGGGAATGTCATAAAACAATATGAAGACTATCTTCTGAAGTATGGTGTTCTCGATTCTCTACAGGGAGAATCGCTGGCATCAGAGCTCGAAGACGCATTTGAAGAAAGCATTGCAGTTGATGTTCAAAACGAACCGCTACTCAGTGAAATTAAAAGTGACACTTTGGCTTCGGGATATGATACTTTGTTTGGAGAAAGTTTTAATCTTACCGGCGAGATGCCGGATGATAGTCAGCTCAAAGATGGCAATGCAGACGACTGCAAAGACATTCAACTACAGAAGCTTCAAAAGCAACTTGAAGAGGAAAAGGAACTTAAAGAAAAGTACCAAAGAGATGTCGAAGAACTTCTTAATGACATAGTTCAACTTAAACTAAAAAATGCAAGTGATGACGAGGATAAAGAGGAAATTGAAAGGCAGATTAAAGAAGAGCACAAAACTAAACAACAATACCAAGAACTAAAGCATGAATTAGCTAATGTCAGGAAGAGCAACAATGAATTGCAAAAAAGCAATGACGATTTAACAAATGAAACGAAAACCATGGAAAACCAAATTAGGAAGCTCGAAAATAAACTTTCAGATTTGGCAAAGACAAACGAAGAATTAGAAAAAGTAATTGAAAACTTAAAGAACCAACTCAAAGAAAATGTAGATAACCTGAAAACAGAGAAGGGGCTTGATGAAGACACAGACCAAAAGAAAAAAGACACAATCAAAGACCTACTTGAGGCTAAAGAAGGGGCCGAGTTGAAACTTCAAGAACAATTGATCTTATACCGTGACTTAGAAGAAAAGTTAAAGGTGATCGAGGAAGGGCTGGACAATGATGAAGGTGGAGCTGAAACATTGAAACAGATCAAAATCAGGAATGAAGCACTTAAACAGCAGTTGGATCACGCTGAAGAATCCATGAAGGAAGCATTAGAAAAATACAAAGAACAGATCAGAGATCTTGAAATCGAACAGGCAAAAACAGAGGAAGAGAAAAAACGCGAATTGGAAATATTAAACAACAAGCTGGAGCTCGAAAAGAGGGCTTACGAAAAACTTAAAGAAGAATACAGTGATAATCTTAAAAAAGAAAAAGACAAAATCCAAGAGGATTTTGACAATGAACTCGAGAGGGAGAAACGACGATCAAGGAAGGACTTAGAGGAGCAAATGGAAGATTTAGAAAGATTGAAGAAAAAACACGAACAAGAGTTAGATGACCTAAATGAAAAATCAAAGAAAGAGAAAGGTGATTTGACGAATTTATTTGAGGAAGAAAAACAACAACTTCAAAGAGAGCTTGACGACAAGGTACGAAAAGAGAAGGAAGATCACGAAAAAGAGTTAAAAACAATGAGACAGGTATTGGAAGACAGAATGATAGCTGAAAAAGCTGAGCTAAACGTTCGATTTAACCAAGAAAAGACCGAATTGCAAGTACAAATCGAAAAAGACGTTTATGGCGAGGAAATACAGAAAAATATTGATCTTGAAAACAACTTTCAAGGAACCTTAAATCAGGTTTTACAAGATCATGCAAGTGAGATTGAAAACATCGATCGCGAAATGAAACAAGCCGACGAATACTTCAAAGAACAAAAATACAAGCTATTAGAGGAATTTGAAAAGGAACGAGAAAAAGAAAAACAGGAGCAACAAAAACTTCGATTTGAGATGGAATCAAACATTGAGAATATGTTAAAAGAAATCATAAAACTAAAACATCAACGAAAAGAAATGAGGCATCAACATCGGTTAGAAAAGCAAACAATGGAGGAACTTTTTGACAAAGAAAGAAACGAAATTCAGGAAAGTATTGAGCAAAGTAAGAATGAATTGCTCTCCAAGTTAAAAGAAGAACATGCAAAAGAGCTTAGCCATGAAAGAGAAAATTATGAAGAAATGTTAAATGAAATGAAGGAGGCCCTTGAAAAATCCGAGGCAAAGCGAAAAGAGCTTGAAGACAAGTTGCATAATGAGGAACTTAAAGTCGAAGAGAGCAAGTTGAATAATGCTCAAGCCAGACCATTGAGCCCAGAAGTGCAAAAGGAAATAAAGGTCATAAAAAGAAAATTTGAGGTTGAGTACGAACAGAAACTAAGCATCGAGAAGCAACGATTTGAGGAAACTCTTCAAGGTTTACGAAAAGAAGTTGGTACACTACAAGAAAAGAGGAAGATAATTCAAGAAAGAGTATACAATCAAGAGGGTGGTTACGCAGCAGAAAAACATGTCATCGAAAAAAGTATAGCAAACTACAAAATGGAGGTTTTGGCAAAATTAGAGGGAGAAATGGCTCAAAGAATGAGTCGCGAAAGAAAACCGTTAGAAGAAGAAATAAAGGAGCTACAAACCGAAAATGAAGAACTTAAACGACAAAGGTGGGAGATGAAGATTCAATTCAGAAGAGAAAAGGCTACTATCGAAGAGAAATATGAAAAAGAAAAAGAAGCAATGGAACATAATTTTAGCACGGAAAGGGAGGAGATGCGCAAGCGTCTAGAAGCAACTATACAAAAACAAGACAAAATAAATAAGACCAATGCCACGGCTTTGCATGGGGTACGTAGTTATTACATTATTTTATATTACAATATTCTAGACCATTTGCGTGTTCGTGAGTTCGAGTTTACTTTGAATATATTCAACATATAAAACAAACAAACTTTTTTCTTTCGGTATGACTTGAAGTTGTCTTTCAAATTATTTGTATGTGTTGAGAAGTTTTCCTTCAGCAGAATAGTTAATGAATAAAGTTTGAAGCAAATGCGGCCAGGTACTGCTGTGTGAGTTTGATCTTAATATTTTAATACGTCTAAGCTTTCGCTGTACTACAGCATCGTCGAGACAGAGCGGTGAGATTCAAATTATTTGTGTTCAAGAATTGAACTCTTGTTCAAATTGACCGGCTAATTCCCTTGTTTACAATAAATAAAAGTCATTTTCATCGCAACAAATATGTTTTTTCCTTGAATGTCAGGGGTCTCCGCTAACAGGAATTCGGCTTTAAAATGCCAGATTTTAGTGTGTGATATATAAAACCGTAACAAAGCACTTATCGTTGTTGATCGGCGCCCTTCCCTTTTAACATTCCTTCATTCATTGCGCTGAAGTCTATCGAGGAAGCGTGTATTAGAGTAAACATGCGCTTATATTTATATAGTCTTATTGAATGATTTGTAATTCTTCAGGAAACCCTTTCGAGCCCTCGCATTGATAACACAGTTCGTATGCTGCAGCAAGAAAACCTATCTCTTGTGACTCAAAATGCAAGGCTTGAAGCAGACGTAGAAAAACTCAGTGAGAAGCTTGAGTCAATAGAAGGAAACTTTAAAGAGATGATCGAATACGAAAAGAGCAAGGTAATCTAGTTTAACTTGCAACTACGAAAATCAAATTTATAATGGCAAGAATTCCGATTATCGTTAGGATGATAACATTCATGATCCACAAAAGGTTCTAATCCTCTAAGCCTTTTTACTATGATAGTGATAATTATGGATTACAATGCTGACAACAGTTAGATACTTGTGTGCTTTATTTAAATGAATTACTCTAATTTTTCATAGGCAGAAAGAGTTGGCAAAATCCGAGACGAAATGCCAAAGACGGTAAGAATAGCACATTCATTGCCAATGATCTCCTTTTATTATTGGCTCAGATATATAGGTCATTGAAGCTTTAAAGAAAAAACAGCGTGTATCATGTAATAAAGATAATTCGAAGGTATCATCACGGTTGTTAAAGTCTGGTTTTTGAAAATTCAGTGATTTTAGAAACAGAAGAGCTATAATCACATGTTAACCTAGCCTTGCCGAAATATGAGAAAACAATCGAGTCTTGTACAAACATTTGCGCACGATCAGATGGCTCTACTTGTATCAAACTCGAGTTTTCTGCTGCTCGTTTTTAACTCGAAGATTGCGAAGCAATCGAAGAGTTATATGAGGGAGATGATGTGCGTGAGTGACTAGTTAATAAGTCACTTATTTTTTTTCTGTAAACATACGGGCATTTAGAAACCCGTAACCAAGATGACCAGGTGTTTTGATACAGAAAGGCTTTTTAAACACACAAAATGTGATTTTTGAGGTCTGGAAGTCTGAATCTGTTGATTTCAGAAGTCGTTTTAGGAGATATCTTGTCAATATGGCTCATAGATACAACATTCTATCACGATGATTTCAAGGATTATTCCCATTCACGTCAATTAGTATTTAATGCTCATCGATTCATATAAACTTTATCCTTCGTAAAAAATCGATGCACGCACGACACTACGACAAGTAAGAACTCAAAATATAAATTTTAACGGTCAGCATTCAAAGTGAAGGTATATTACTTCAAACAAAGAAATTGTGATGGTGTTGATAATTCATTGTCGATATGTCACAGGTGTTACGGATGCATATAAATTATTAAATTCAAAATTTCAAGTTCAATATTTTTATGTTATAGATTTTTTGTCGAAATTAGACCATATTTTAACAAAGTCTGAGGATTCATAAAGATTTGTCCACGGTATACTTGTCTAACAATCTTCGAGTTGTGTCGCCCTTAGCGGCTTGATTTATATATATTTATCATATAATTATCTATAAATACCTATATTTCTACACGTTCGTGGTGTCTCTATATATTGCAAGTAAATTAAATTGATTTTAAAACATAATTTGCTTTTATAGATAATTATGCGATTAATATCAAACTTACAAAAATACTCGATTTGGATTGGCTGACGAACCGTGAATCTATTCTTAATTCGTGCAGTTAATCAATACCACGCGTGCTATTAATTAATTGCACGCATCTATCCCAGAGGTCTTTGCGAATGATCTACGCGTGATATGTTTTCGCTATCATGTGCTGCGCCAATATGCGATATAATCGAATATTTTATGTAGACACGATATTAAAAGATAATGAAAGCTTTGTTCTCGAAGAATCAATGAAAAACACCGCTTGTACTTGATGGAAGTGAGGTATAACACTCGTGCTTCGCACTCGTGGTACTAATTCTTAATTTCATCAGATACGCGAGGTTTTTTCATTAATTCTTCTTGAACGGTGGTACTTCCAAAACAAATAGAATATTACATGATCGCTTGAATATACGAATTTTATCTTCCCGTGTAGAAATCTCTTATGAGTGAGCGTAAAAGATAAAAATCGTATCTCCTCGTGCCCATGTAATATTCTCCACATATCACATAATCAATAATTTTATCAATGAAACATTGATAGTCTGAGTTTATAACGTCAAATGATCAGTAAACTCAGATGACTCGTAACTTCTTTTATTTAGGCATTATTTAAAGATATACCTGGACGACCAGCACCAGAATACCAGCCGTCAGCAAGTTCGCAAGACGACGCAATGTTCCACAGGCTACAGGAGCAAGATCATCAGATCCACCAGCTTCTAGAAACAAAGAAATATTATGAATCAGTTTTAGGCGAGCTGTGTGACGAGGCTGGCCTGTTTGAATTAGATCGCAATGAAGTAGTATAAGCATTTAAGATATTTTAGTCTGCTACCTTAACGCCACTAACATTTATATTAAGAGTGGCTTAAGAACTAAATTAGATTGTGTTTCAAATGCACACTTAAAAGCAGATTTTTGTATACTGTCAAAATGAAGAATTTTAAATACGGCAAATATTTAGCTTAAAAAACAGAGCTTGCTTTATATAGTTCTATGGCGCCAAAAGTACTACTATAGTACTTCACACAAAACGAGTAGTGCGTGCATAGAGTTTGTAAGATGCCTTTAAAAAATTTAAAACAAAAGTACAAGAGGAAATAAGAATTTCATTTACTACAATGGATAGGCTCGCTACGTATTTATCAGTATGGATTCAGCGCCGTTGACTTAATTTGCGCAAAATATAAAAACCGTGCAGAGTGCAGCAAAATGCTAGTATGCATACTTTGTACAGAAAGTAAGCTTTATAATCACAATTGTGGTGTACACTCAATCAGACATTTACACAAGATTTATATTATGATATATGCATCAATTAATTTTATAGATAAGAGGTAATTTTGTAGAGAAAAAATATCGAGTAAGTAAGAAATACATAATCAGTCCAATTGTCTACCATTTTGTAAGCACGATTTTTAAAGTTCTGATAAGATTGCCCTTTCAATCTGCATTCGTAAATTGTAGTGAAATATGAGTTTACATTCATAAGCAAAGCAATAAAAAATATAACCGATTCAAAAACGATGATATATAATCTTATGTTTATTTAATTGCAAATTAATTGAAAAAATACCACATAAGACTATAATTATTATTATAATTGAAAATAATAATAAGCAAAATGTGTGAGCAGTGAAAGAAATTACAAAATGAGTAACTATCATTAATATATTTCCGACCATCCGACCAATAACTAAAATGATTGCTCAGACTAATCGAAATACCTTTTATTTCATACATACTAAGATTTATTCATGATAACAAGCCCGCGTAAATTTCGTACAAATATGTAGTTAAACCAATCAGAAAAGCGAACGACTATTTCTCACGATCGTTCGTCCAATCAGAAGCGTGAACGATTGTGCTTCGAAGTCGACCCGGAATACCTTGACGGGATGCGAGTTTGTTGAACGACAAACATGGCCGTTGAACCCCGATTTGCACTCTTCGAAGGCACTGTAGACGAATTTATCAACGAGCAGGAGAACAAAAACACGCAAGCGAAGATTAACAGAGATTATAATAGTCGGTGCTATGTTTCTCTAGCAAAACTTYATTAAATTCAAAAAACTAAAACACTAAGCTTTCGGACGGTCGTCCATCATCAGAGTAAACTAAAAGTATAATGTATTGGTAAATATTTAAACGTGGACACATCCGCTTTGGCTAAGCACGTATACGAATTTGACCATTGTATAGCATGGGACGATATGGAAATAATATGCAAAGAAAACAAATGGTCCCACCGTAGATGGAAAGAAGCCTGGCTCATCGAGAATAACAAGAACAATGCGATTATAAATAGAGACAGTGGTCGGACCTTGCCGGAAGTATACAAAACATTAATGTAGTTTCACATCAAAGTATACCTTTTGTATTTTAATTTAATTATTTTAATTATATAATCATATATTTTAGTAATGTTTATATACAGCCTTTTGCACAAATTATATAAAAATATATATATAAATATACCTAACCAAATATCAAAAACACCCCAGAAATTATRGTATATCTCTATTATATTTTGTCATGATTGCCTAGCATCAGGTTGTTACAGACAAAATATCAGCGACGGTATCCCATAATTTCTTGGGTGTTTTTGATATTTGGTTAGGTATATTTATATATATAAAAATGTCTCATAATTTGTGCAAAAGGCTGTACACTAGATTTACTAATACAATATTCTTAGTTAGTTTATATATTATTATTACCAATACATTATACTTTTAGTCACTATTATTAATACAATATATATTCTTCGTTAGTTCATTATTGTATTGTATAGTTTCACGCTTGTATTTGTTGTATTTTAGATCTTTTGTACATATTTTATCATATCTATTGTCTTGTAAATTTGTTATCTTTATATTGCTGGAATAATGCCTTTTAGTTTACTCTGATGATGGACGACCGTCCGAAAGCTTAGTGTTTTAGTTTTTTGAATTTAATAAAGTTTTGCTAGAGAAACATAGCACCGACTATTATAATGAAGCTACCTAGCAACATAAATGTCCTAGAATTAACAGAGATGTAAACTTGTTAAAACTATTTCTGCAATCCAAAGACGAACGAAGGGATGTTGAAAAAAATTCCTCCGCCTGAGCTGAATGAATTGTTGAGTGAATTCGTGCTTTCAGTTCGCACAAAAGAGGGATACGAGTATGAACCAAAGTCTTTAAGAGGCATGATTGCTACAATCATGGACAATATACCTTTGGACACAATGAACTGTTACTGTACAAAACACACATTCTTAGTRTTCTACTGACAACACTACCTTACAGTCCCTCCCCCACCCCCCCTCGGTCAATGTTGGCGTTGTTCATTATGTCATGGTACTGAAGCATGAAAAATCAAATCAAAAYAGGAACCCAACATTGTACAGGGGGCCGGGGGGCAGGATTTTGTAGCAAGTGTTGGTCATGTTGTCAAATTGAAACAGTGACATGTTACAATGTCCCGCGTAAAATGACCAGGATTGTAGCTTCGAAAGATATTTAAAGCGCAAAAACTACCAAGCCAGTATTATCAAGGATTTGGCATTTGAAAAAACCCGTAAAACCCTACAGTCTAAGCAAAAGCTGTTAAAGAAACAAGGCAAAGGTAATAAGCCGAGGACAGCAGCTCTGATGAAGATTGATTATACAAGAATTTACTTTGAGGACTTTGAGTCAGTTAAGGTCAGTTTCTAGTCGTTTAAGCTCGCAAAAACTATATTTTGTAAAGACTCTTACTTCTAGTTTGATGTAAACACATCTTCGTTTCGCTTCACTTGAGCTCGTACAGAGAGAAAGAATTACAATTCAAAAAAGACTTCATGTTATTTATATAGTGTATTTATATTTTCACGATTTTATGTATAGTTTAGTCGCTTTTTAATAAAAATTGTTCACCAAAAGTTGTCGTCATTTTATTCTGATGTCGCGGTGTAAGTTATGTGTGTTCTGCATTCAAATGAATTCCTGCCTGCATTTTTCGCACAGACTTCTACAACTCAAAGAGAATTCTTAGTATGTATAAAATAAATAAATTACACCACGGAAAGTACCAACAACGATTTTCGTTTTTTTGGTGCTACGCAACTCGTGAATAAAAATCGTTGGTTGGAACTTTCCGTGGAGCAATCTATATTTATTATATAGCTCTTTYAAAGAAGGTTGTCGGATAAAATGCCCGAATGTCAATTGTCGAACGGCGATTGCACGACCGAAAGTAGCCACGGGTTTTGCTAATTGATGAAAAAAAAACTGATTTATATTGTAAGACTACGTGTGATGAATCTTGGTTCATATAAGTGTCCATTTCTATGCAATGTGAATCCAATAAGTGAAATCTTGTTTGTCAAAACAGTGTAACCATGGTTCCTTTCGTTCGTGCATTCTCCTTTCAACAATTGAAGTTTATTTTCGCTATCTTTCGTCCCAAGCGAGCWTCTCCATGGTAATTAGTTACCGAATAAAGACGAAATAGACTTCTTCGTCAAAACAAAGGAAACAATGTGCATGCACAACATACAAGAGATTTTTTCGTGATTTCTTTTCCCAATATTTTTCGACAACTGAGTCTGCGTCACAGACAACTGGAGCACTGACATCGTTGCTCTCTTGTCTACTCATTTATCAATCCCAAAATGCATTGCGTCACAAGGCATTCCGCGGCCGTAATAAGGATTATGAGGGACTGCTGTTAACTAAAACAGCAACTATAACTTAACTATGGATAAATGAGCAAACAAGTAATAAAGCAGCAGTGAAACTAAGTCACTTTGGATTACATGAGTTTGTGTCAGACTTCTCACCCTCGAAAGTCTTTTCAGGCGGATTGGGATTCCTGTGGTACTCAATTAAAATTACAGAATCAGGAGAATACTGACACCTTTATATTTTCGGGACGAAATTTTGTATGACGGAAAATTGCATTGATAATAAAGATAATTCAAGAAATGTAAATTCTTCATATAAGATTGTATGCTTGATTGAAAATTTTTATAAATCCTTTGATTAAAAATTCTTAGACAAACGTTTGAGCATTGGTAACGTTATTGCTTGGAAGCGAGCCCAGAACCCAAAAATAGCATCTGCACTGTTTACTGTTACAAAAAGTTCCAAGAGGGTGCAAAATAGCGCTATTTTATGGTAATTTGATTGCTTTCTATTCATTGATAACCACTATCTATCAACAAATGGTTCTATCTATGTGTACTTAAAAGAGCTTTTTCCATTATCCAAAAAAAAAAAGCTAATCACATTCAATGAAATAAAATTTCCGAAACTTCAAGTTTTGGATAGAAACGTGACAATATGAATTGCAAGGGGATCGGATAGAGCAGGTCGAAATTGACAGTGACGCCTTTAAATAATTAAAGAGCGTCTACTGTTAAAACCACGAAGATTAAAAAAAATCTTCGTTCATCGCCAATACAAATTGGAGCCTTAAAATATGTTAAAATGTTTAATACTAAACAGAAGCTATCGCTGCTCACTAAAGTATAGCTTTTTTATGTGCAAAAAAACTTAATTAAGGACTTATATAACGACTAATATTTATATGAACTATACAATTAAATTGTGCAGTTTAGATAAAGTAATTGATTTCAACTACATAAATCCCTATGATAAAATTAGAGAGGATGTAAAAAAGTTATCGCTTTGCAAGCAATGCTCTGTATTTTGAGCATTACCATATAGCTCTACAATGTCGCTACTAGAAAACACTTTTCAGTTTTGGAATTTATGAATAACAAATTTACAAATTTAATTTCATCGGTAATGATGCTTTACTAAGACTGTTAAGACTAGAACAAGGACATTTTTACTAATATATTCCACATAATACCAGTGTCATTTCCTTAAACTAAACAAGAGAAAGAAAAGCAGAGAAAACATTGCTTACAAGGCAACAGGGCTAGAGCCAAACTGGGACAGACTCTTATAAACAACGAAGATCTAAATYTCATTATGATCAAATATAAAATATACATATGCCCAAGAGCATATGYAGGATTAAAAATTTCAATCATGCTCAAAAATATTTAGTTAAATATTCAATCTATTGTTTTTCAATTATATAAAACACGTAATTGCAATTTTTGGCACTTTTACATTATATTTTTGTCGCTATTTCGATTTTATAAACAATATTCATACAAAACTGGCTGAAATTGTGGTGAAGAATTTTGACAGATATGAATATTCTCAAGCATTTGATACCGCTAGTAGCATCGCGAACAAACATTTTTCCACATCTATCTCTCCAAATGACAAAAGTCGTACATTGTCAATAAATTCAAATGTTAATTGAGCGTCCAAAAGGCAAACGAGTAATTGGCGGTAATCCATCTTTGAGCTAAAGCTAAGAACCCATTGAAAACTCTACTTTGGCGTAGAAATTACCTGTAAAAACAATGATTTTCATTGGCTCTAGCTAAGCATGAATAAATAAACCTGCAGCTACATAGGCTTTATTTTGGATAGACATTGCTAACAAGAAGAGAAAGGCAGGCTGCCAGTCTGGTTAACCAAAAAATCAACAAGCTTAACATTTCAAGTGGAATCTCTCGACATAATATCAACGAAAAGAGGAGAACGAAGAAATAGCGTGTCGCCATCATGGCGCAAGAGATCGAGACTACAGCAATAGCTCTGGAGCTTTCTCCCGAAGGAATGGTGGGCATGGATGGGCAGGTTATTGAGGGTGAAGCAGTGATGATCGACGATGTAGTTGAGCTAACAATTGATGGCGGTATGGTTATGCAAGATGGAGTTCAGATGATAACCGAAGAAATGCCTCTTGAAATGCAACAAATGGACTATGGAACACTTCAAATGACTTCTCAACAAATACCAATCGAAATGCAGTCAAAAATTATCATAATAGAGATGATGGTATTCTTAGATGGTCAACTCTTTCAGATTGTCAATGGAGAGAACGTTCAAGTTACTGAAGGGCAAATGTTTCAATTTGCAGGGAGTCAGGTATTTAAAATGCAAGGTGGTTTCATTCAAACATGGAGCGGAGAAATGTCAGGAGACATGCAAATCATTGCTGGTAATAATATACAAATTATCGGTGGGAAAGCTTTTCAAACAATCAATGGGCAACAGATATTAATTTCAGATGGAACTCTGTTTAATTTAAACTCCAGTCAGGTCTATCAGATCCGAGGAGGATTAATTGAAATGGTAATTTTTGAATCTCAAAGTCAAGTTATCAACAACGTTTTTATTGAATTCATTGATGGCCAGGCATTTCAGTTAATAAATGGTCAAAATATGCAAATATCTGATGGACAATTATTTCAAACTGGAAGTGGTCAAGTGTTTAAAATTGAAGGTGGTATAGTCATGTCAATATCTCAAGACGCCATAACGCAAGAAATGATTACACAAGCAGTAGGCGGTGGTGAGATTCAGATCATTAGCGGTCAATTTTACAAAACACTTGACGGACAAAGCATTCAGCTATCAGATGGAGAACTGTTTATGCTAGATGGTTTAGTATTTCAAATGCAAAATGGTGTCATTGAAATCCTTTCCCAGGAAATGTTACAGTCCTTAGGAATATCTTTGGGCGGCGGAGGGGGTCAAATTATCCATGAAATGTCAGTATCGGAAATTCCTCTAGAGAGTGGCTCAGGTGAGTCATTGGAAATGTCTGTTCAGGAAATGCCACTGGACGCTACGTCACAAGAGCTCATTATCGAAGAGACACCATTGGAGATGACATCAGAGGAACTCGCAATCGAGGAAATACCTTTAGAGATGACGTCCGAAGTAATGATTGAAGAAACACCTTTAGACATGACGTCAGAAGGACTTGTGATTGAAGAAACACCGTTAGAGATGACGTCAGAAGAACTAATAATGGACGAAACATCGTTGGAGATGACGTCAGAAGAGTTGGTCATTGAAGAGACTCCCCTAGAGATGGCATCAGAAGAACTGGTAATTGAAGAAACACCTCTCGAAATGACATCAGAAGAGTTAGTTATTGAGGAAACACCTCTAGAAATGACGTCAGAAGAGCTCGTTATTGAAGAAACTCCTTTAGAGATGACATCAGAAGAACTGGTAATTGAAGAGACTCCCCTAGAGATGACATCAGAAGTACTGGTGGTTGAAGAAACACCTCTTGAAATGACATCAGAAGAACTGGTAATTGAAGAAACACCTCTCGAAATGACATCAGAAGAGTTAGTTATTGAGGAAGCTCCCGTAGACATGACGTCAGAAGAGGTTGTGATTGAAGAAACACCTCTAGAAATGACCTCAGAAGAGCTGGTAATTGAAGAGACTCCCCTAGAGATGACATCAGAAGAACTGGTGGTTGAAGAAACACCTCTTGAAATGACATCCGAAGAACTGGTAATTGAAGAAACACCTCTCGAAATGGCATCAGAAGAGTTAGTTATTGAGGAAGCTCCCTTAGACATGACGTCAGAAGAGGTGGTGATTGAAGAAACACCTCTAGAAATGACCTCAGAAGAGCTRGTAGTTGAAGAGACTCCCCTAGAGATGACATCAGAAGAACTGGTGGTTGAAGAAACGCCTCTTGAAATGACATCAGAAGAACTGGTAATTGAAGAAACACCTCTTGAAATGACAACAGAGGATTTGGTTTGTGAGGAAGCTCCCGTAGACATGACGTCAGAAGAGGTTGTGATTGAAGAAACACCTCTAGAAATGACCTCAGAAGAGCTGGTAATTGAAGAGACTCCCCTAGAGATGACATCAGAAGAACTGGTAATTGAAGAAACGCCTCTTGAAATGACAACAGAGGATTTGGTTTGTGAGGAAGCTCCCCTAGATATGACAACAGAAGAGATGGTGATCGAAGAAACACCTCTAGATTTGACGTCAGAAGAAGACAATCCGATAAAGAATAAGACAGAAATTCTACGGGAATCCAACAAGGAAGAAATACTTGAAGCTTTAGACGACCAGCTCCCAGAAAAAAGCGASAAATCTAGTAAGACAAATGATAACAAATTAGAAGTCAAAGAAATATCTTCAGATGTGGAAGAAGAACAGAAAAGTACTTTCTCTCAAGGCAGCTTCACATCATGCAAATGTAATCATAGCTGCACAACTACACCAAGATATGAAGAAAGTTGTCATCATAAATTTATGCTTGAGGAATTCAGAGAAAAAATAATTCGAATTGAAAAGGAAAAAGAATACTTAGAAGGAAAGTACGATGAATTACGCAGAGAGAAACCTCTTATTGACTCTTATAGGCACAACATAGAACATTCGAGTCAGTTCGCAAGTCAAGCAAACAGTGAAATGCTATACACGCCTCGCTCAGAGTGCCATCATTGTGAAAGTATAAATCACACATGCAGCAGGAAAGATATAACACATAATAGTTCAGATTCTGACTACTATAAGCTTAAATGCGACCTTATCAGGAAAGAAAAAGAAAACTTAGAATTAGCATATCACGGAGAAAAACAACAAAAAGAAGACATTGAGAGAGAATATGAAAATGAGAGAAACGAGAAACAGTTCATAGAAAGAAGATATGAAACAATGCTGGAGTCAATCACAAGATTTGAAGACACGATTCGCGAGCTGAGGCAAGAGAATGAGAACCTACAGACTAACTTGAATGAGTGGACAAACCTCCACAAAGCGCAGAAMTTTGCATTGGCCGGTAAAGGCGATATGTTGGATAACGCTTTTTCCGAAGATTCATCATCCGACATTTTCGAGTATAAAAGGAGTATTGAGGTATTAGAGCGCGAGAACAAAGAGTTTCGAGAAATTCTTGAGGCAATGAGTAAAAAAAGTGAAAACCAAGATAATCTGAAAGGTATAGAGCTAGGTCTCGTGAGAGAAAAAGAGTTCCTGGACTTAAAAAGAGAAAGAGCCAAGTTTGAGGATATTATCCGTGAACAAAAACGCACTATTGGCCACCAACAAGAGAGAATTGAAGAAATACGCCGAGAACATGACGACRAAATATGGACCATCAAAGAGACGAGTAGGAAGAATGAGCGAAAATTGAAAGAAATTCAGAAATGTCTAGGTGAGAAAGACAGAGAAATTGATGACATGAAACGAGTACATGTTGAGGAAATTCATGTTCTTGAAATCAAACTCCAGTCAGAATCCTCATGTAGATCACAATATCAAACTAAAGTGAATGAGCTCGAAATCAAGATTCAACGAATAGAGAGCGAAAAACTTCGGCTTAACGAGCGGATAAATTCAACTTTTACAAGTCAGTCATTCAGTGATGAATCATACGGAGAAGATATTTCAGGTATAAGACAAAGGCTTGAAGATGAACAAAGGTCTAAAGTAAAGCTAGCAAATGACATAAAATATCTTCTGCAGGATATAATTGAGCTTAAAGACAGAAATAAAAGGATGGAAAGCGATGTCAACAGAGAAAGAATGGAAATAAAAAACATGCTAGAAAAGCAAGCCAATGAAATCACGCAGGTTTATTTAACTCAAATTACAAAGCTGCAAGGGGCGCTTTCTGATGAAATAAGAAGAAGAGAAATGATTGAAAATGGAATGACAAGGTTTGGTGAGCCAAACTATCAACAACCTGCTAACAGTTCCGGGATGCAGCCAGCTATGCAAGGTAGCATGAGACCAAACAACAACTTCGACACGAGTCTCAGAGAGGAAATAAAGAAAAGAGAAGCACTCGAGGTGGAAAACAAGAATTTGTTGTACGAGATGAATAAACTTCTTGGTGGCTTAAGCATGGATGATACGACTGTACACACCTTCCAAGGATCAGAAAAAGACACATCGCAATCTGCTCTAAAAATGACTTGTGAACAGACTGGACTGCAAAGAAAGAACAAAGAACTGATGCATGAACTTGCAGAAATGAAAGACAGTTTAGATGACATGGAAACGCTTGTGAGAAAGAATAAGAATTACAAAAATAAAATTGAAGATCTTCAAGACGAATTAGATCACGTGACACGTAAGCGTGACGATCTGGCAACTTCACATAGAAACATGAAAAGAGATGTAGAGCAGCTTTCGATGACACTAGAAGATGTTCAACGTAAAAATAGGCAATATACTGACGAGTGTGATCGCCTTATCAAGAGAATTCAAGAACTCGAAGATAGTTTTAAATTCGAGAAAAGCAAAATGGTTCGAAATCACGAGATTGAGCTGGAAAATATTTTAGCCGAGAGCGAAGAGAAAAATGAGGAATTAAAGCGACAGGTTGATGAACAGTTAAAAATAATCGATCTTTTGAGAGACAAAGCAACTGAGGCAGGATGTGAAGTTGAGGATATATTAGAATTAGATGAATGGTCCCCGACAAGAAACGATAACAAATATTCCGATCAAAGAGGAAGCAAAAATGGAAAACGAAGTTTGTCAAAAGGAGATCCGTACATTTCGTCTCTCAAAAAGCAAGTGGAAAAGCTAGAAAATAAACTGAAAGCTTCCAATAAAAGACGTGACGAGGAAATTAAAGAAGTAGAAAAAAGGAAAAACGACATGAAAGCGGAATTCGAGAAAGAAAAGCAAGCGCTCAGACAATATTTCAACCAGGAAAAGATACTACTTGAAAGACGTTTTCAACATGCACCTGCGGAGAACGGAATATTTCCACAGGCAGCGGAGGCATTAAATGCGTTACCTGGTAACGAATATTACAGCACTGGGACGTCGAACCAAATCGCACCGGAAGAGGCACTGGTTACCGCTCAAGAAGCAAGTTATGCATTGGAATCAGTTCCGTCACCAAGTCTCGGCTTTACGACTGCTCAAGTGGGAGTGCAGGGCTTGCTACCAGGTGATAGAGCCAATGTTCAGGGATATGCTAACCAACAAAGCAGTTACAATACTACTGCGCAATCGCCAGGTCAACAGAACCCTAGAAGCCAAATGAATGATGGAAAACCCAAAATAAACGGCATGTCAGGTATAGGATTTGATCCTCAACAAGGTATAGGAAATAGCATGCATGGACCAAAAAATGACTTTGAAAAGCAAATTCGAGACGTCGAGGAAAGATTTGCGCAAGATAAGCAAGACATACTACAGAAATCAGCCGAAGAGAAGCGAAAATTGCAACAAGACCTTTATAAACAAAAAGGACAACAAGAGAATGAAGCAAGAAGTCTATACAATGAAATCAGTCTCCAGAGTCCACACCAATCATCAAACTATTCTCAAAGCCCAAGGCCAAGAACAAGCACAGACCAACCCTCCTCTCAAAGGATTCAGCAGCAATTACACAAAGCTCAAAGTGATATCCAAAAACTTCAAAAGCACATGCAAAAGCAGAGACGTGATTATGAAGACCAGATTAAGAAGCTGACAAAGGAAAAACAAGAAGTTGTCCAATCCGTTCAACACATGAATAAAGAGATTTCTGTCTTGAATAGTGAAAGGAGAAATATAAGGTGCTCTACAAAGAGTGAGATTGAAAAAGTAGAACGAATGCACGAGATTGAGAAGACAGAATTAAGAGAAAATCACGAGCGCAATAAAAGAGATGAAGTCACTAGGATAAGGGCAGAATACGATGACCGAATGACAAAAGAAAGAAAGCGTCTGCAAAGCACGACAGATGAGCTTCGACAAAAGATATCTGTAATGGAAACAAAATTACGTGAAGTCGAAGTCTTGCTCCAAAATGAAAGGCATAAATTTGAAAGAGATCGAGTTGAAAGCCAGAAAACAATTTCTCGCGCAAAAGAAGAATATAAAGTACTTCTTGAAACTGAATACAAAAAGAGACTGTCATATGAGAAACAAAAGTTTGAAAAAACTCTCAAAGACCTAAGGACGCAGATTTCTTCACTTCAGGAGCAAAGAAGGCAGATACAACAAAAGCTTTCAAGCAAAGACAGCGCAAATTCCGAAAGAATTACTCGTGAAAGAATGATACTTCAAATAGAACAAGATTTCTTAGAAAAAATGGAAAAAGAAAAGAAGCCTTTAGAGGAAAAGATCAGTGACTTAAGAGAAGAGCTTTCCAAGATGAAGCGTGAAAAGAATGCGATTAAAACATCAATGGAGAAAGAAAAGGAAGACCTACAAGAGGAAGTGGAACGCGTTAAGGATAGCATGAAAGATAAGTTACAAAAAGCAAAGAATGAGATGGAAAGAAGGAGTGACATGATGAGCCGCAGCGTAGTGACAAACAGAAACATGGCAGTAAGTAAAAAAAGATTACAGAGTTGTAATGAAATTATTTGAATAAGAAAAATATTTAAAGTGTGAGATGGATAAAGGGTTTACTAATACCTTCGACACTGGTCCTGATTATTCTCTTATTACCACCGAGGTCCAAAACGTCACTGTGCTCACTGTCGTTGTACTGCGTATAAYTTATCTTGTCATTACAGTTGCTTTGGAGCATCGCTAGATATATCCAATTAAAATAAGTCAAGGCATTTGATTTTAATTTTAATCTAATAAGTTGCACGTAGTATTTGCAATTTCATGTGCGCAAACGAATCATTAGTTTGGTTCAAACTGCTTTCGTTCTTTGCATAGAATAATCTTTCGCCTATCGTCCACTAAYAATATTTTTGTGCAAGCGTAGATTCAAAGTTTTTGGATTACAATAGGATCTCTGCTGAATAAAATAATATATTAAATTCATTTGAGGTTAAGTCTGCACAAATACGATCTGGAAACTGTAGTATTACTTAGAAGAATTGTATACGCTGAGGTATATTAGGAATATCTCTTTTCCTGGATAACTTCAACCGTTTATTATGGTCCAAAACAGGACGTACAGTAAAACAAATAGTCAGTATTGCAAATATCTGATTCTTACACTCACCGTCTTGCCGATATATCAATTGAAAACTCAAAAGACAAAAATTCGCATCTCCGCTTGCACATGCCATTTATAATTTTTATACGCCAAAGTTGGTGGCGCTTATGCATATAGCAGTCATTCACCTAATTTACTAACCAGCCACTTACGTCAACATGCTCTTTATTAGTTCGTATCTTATTATTAGATGTTTGCTGATATTGAAACTCAAAACCAAGCGCAGTCAAACCTAAAACATTACCAGGAGCAAGTCAACATACTGGAGCAAAGGAACATGAATCTAAATTCAAAGAACGAGAGATTAGAAAGGGAAGTTAGAGTGCTCAAAGGAAGGGTGACCAGCTTGGAATCCAGAAATAGGGATCTTACAGCCAATGCAACCGCGGTAAATACTTTTTACACGTGACTATTAACGAATTAGATATTTTAGATAATCACAAGACGAAAAAAATTTCAGATGATCTGTTTTTGAAATATATGTGTAAGTGTATAGTCTATTAAATGATAACATTAAAATAGAATATTGGAATTTTTTGTTACTCTTTTGTAGGCATACACTTACGAAACGTCTCCTAGAAATAGAACTCTTAAGATAGACCTCAGTTCCATTGGAAACTCGAGCACCAACTTTGGTAGTTCAGCATACAGCAGACAAGCTCAAATGCCTGATTCTTCCCTAATGCAAGGCGGAGAGGCTTACAATAATATATTTGAGCGTGTGCGACAAACAATGAATACAGCAGGAAATATCGGACCACAACATCGTTTTGCCATGCCGAGTTCTTACAGTGGTGCACGAGGACTCTCTGGTTCAGTTGGCCTTTCTGGTGTAAGTGGGTTTTCCAGCAACCTGGGACAAGTGATTCCAAACGGTGGTATGCCAATAGGATATGGCTACACTGGTCTTGCGGCAGGTACCTCCAGCTTTGATGGTATGTTGAGTACCCACACAAACAGGATCGGGGCGTCAGGTATGAGTATGATGGCTGATGCTTCTGGGGTGTCTGGTACACGGATGATGCCACAGGGTACTAATTCAATTTCGCATGCACCTATGGCATCCGGTAATCACATACCCGATGGTAACAGGGTGCCTAATACTGCTATGATGCCCGATATTCACAATGATTCCAGCTTACCTTTGGCTGGTGGATTTCAAGGTAATGGCGCAAGCGGATATGAGGGTTCATCAGGTATAAACGGAGGTCAATCGAACTCTAATATCGGAGTTTCAGGAAGTGCAGACCAGGCTGGCACTAGTAAGAAGCACGATTTGGAAAACGGGAGTGGAAATATTTATCCAACAAGTCAGGACATGGAGGATAATGACACTTTGAACGATATTGAAAACACCAACGTAGATGAACATGTTGAAGTTTCAAGCGAGTTGTAGGCTTCACGGAATAATAGTACCTAAATAGACTTTTATTTAGATAATTTAATATTTAGTTAGAGCTTATAATATTGACTGACACTGCACGGCCAAGAAAGCTTTACATCAAAGTATTATGATAGAGTTAAGGTACTAAACCCGCGAACTCGATATTTATGTTTATTACATGAAAAAGAAGTTGAAGACGATAAGGTTTTTCCCATTGATATCTGATCAAATTGAGTTCATTTTTCAAGTGAAGAGCAATTTGATTTGTTAACATCAACAGTAAGTGTCTAATGATGACGTTCATCATTTTATCATCTGTTTTAAGATTATAAGCAATTTATTCATTGATAATTCAATAAACATCTGTTTCTTTTCAGTAATATACTAATATAAGGATTCTGGGAATCGAATCTATAAACACGAGATAAAACCATATCATGATATGATTATAAATATAAAATATATAAAAGCTTAATCTAGTAGGTTTGAAATTTTTGAATACTAAATTATCAAAACTTTATAGTTTAATTGAAGCCAATAAATAAATATTAATGAAAACATTAAACAGTATATATACAAAAACATATAGGGTATACATTAAAAGTACTATTAATATTAAGAATAGAGTGGCTTTCATTAACCAGACTTCAGACAAAGGAATGCGTCTTATAAAAGAGAGTTAAACGAAGACAACACTAGCTTGTTGTCGCTAAAATGTTTCACATTGGATAAACACATTTTACTATTACGAAAAAGGTGCTCTTACAACTCAACGACAACAACAATCAAACTTTGTTTGTATAGAATAACGTTTACTTTATTCAGGTTTAATTCTTAACAGCGGCCTGTAACTGTATCCCCCTAGATAGTATGTCAGCACGAGGTACATCACTTTCAGCGTACAGCTCAGCCTAGAGGTCCTACATACTTCGCCTAGAGGTCCTACATACTGGATTTATGAAAGCCACTCTACATTCTAAGGTCTAAGGTATTTATTTAAAGCGTGTAATATTAATATACTGTAGTTCGAATGAAATAAATACAACTTGGGAAAACTGGATTTGACTTTTATTTCGAAAAAAATAGTTTATAACCTTAAAGCAATTATCATTTCAACAACAGCAAGTTTCAGAAGTCATCATACAAAAAACTAATAGTTCGTGTGTTTTTTGGTTTTCGTGGACCGATATAAACACTCGGCCGAKTCCTACTCATTTTTTAAATCTTACAAACTTTAAAACACAAGCAACTAATGGCTATTTGGTTCAAACTTAAAAAGTCTTRAAAGAAATGATGTCCTTTTATGGGATATTGAAATATTCAAAGACAAAATCAGTTGTATTTTTGGCAGAGGAATCCCTACTTTTAGAMGGTTTAGTSCAGTGTTTATTACCTTAGCCTCTGACAAATGGCTAACCATGGTTCATAATTCACAACTGCAAACTTGCATTATATTGTAGGAGCTTGATATCGATGAGAAAATCAGTTTGACAATTGAAATGGCATTGTCCAAAGTTGATCTAAATTGTAGCTCACGTTATTACGTGGGCTTCCTGTGGAAGTACACGTCTAAAAATGCAACTGGCTTTTCGTCGTGAATATTACGCTTCAAATTGGTAGCGCATCGATAGCGCATGCGTTACAGTCTCAGTTTCCATGGAGATGTCAAAATAAACCAATCAGCGATTTTTGGTAGCGCCTGCGTTGCAGATGGACTGCAGTCTCAGAATCAAAAGAAAATGGCTGACAGACGGCGGCAAAAAATTGTCTCGTTTCAAATGGTTCTAAAATGTAGCTAAAATGCTCTAAAGAGCTGAAAATCTTACAAAATCAACTGATTACCATCCAAACGACATGGACTGAGGTATATAATTCAAGATTAGCGGATGATTCGTGCAGAAATGACTGGGCATTTTCTACCGCCGACTCGAAGAGCAGTACTTCTTCGTCACACAAGTGTTCGATGTCAAACACAAAATCTTCAAAAATAAGAAATCACATGGATATTTAAGGTTCATACTTTGACAGAAAACAATCATTCGATGGAATAAAGCATATCAAACCTCATCTGAAAAATATTGATGCCATTTTCTAAACTAACGATGTGTTTGAAGTTCGGAAAACTGCACGTGTGAGCTTTACTGAACTCTGTATACAAAATCTATATTGTGTATGAAGCATTTTAATTCTCTATTGTTTGTTTTGATGATTGTTTAACTTGAAAAACTTAGACAAATCCAAAAATATGAACTGTCATTAGAAGGCTAAGGTACACCTTTATGATGGCACAGAACACCAGATTTACAAATTAATGAAAAACACCAAATAAAAAAGAACAGAAACACAAGATACAGATACATGATTCAAATGATCAAAATATTATTCAAAGTTATACTGCCAAGACTGTACCGTTTCTATTGTTTATGTGACCTATATGACCTATCAGATATTTTGAATAATATAGACGCTCTTAAGCGTAAAGTCGAGCTAGTTATTTTGGAAAACTGAGAAAAAAGACATGGTATCCAAAGAATTTACTTAGAGTTCAGTTCGGTAAAAAATTATGATGTAATAAATTGATAACATATTAACTTAATTCTGTCTTGACTTATTACAAACAAAGATTATCTTGTGAAAATGAAACACCATTGTCACAGGAAGCCCACATAAGCGATCCATGATCGTCTAGTCTAACATTTAAGGCCAAGAACTATTATAGATTTCCACTTGATAAAAGGAAAACATCTACTACGTCATCAAGAACATTATTATTACCCTTATTTTTYCCATAACATCAAAACATAAAAAAACGGTGCTTTCGGTTAGATTGGCAAGGATTCGTGACAAAAATAACACAAATACCAGTAGAAAAACAAAACAAGTTTACCAAACAACCAGCTGTTTTTATGAATTGACCAAATGCAAGCTAGTGTGCAAGTACTAAAACCATAAAAGAATTATCATCAAATAGTGCTAAACCGCACACGTATCCAGCACTGTTTGCAATAGTTGTTAGAGTGATCGAACTTAAACTGTGCAAATGTACAAAACCTAAGCAGTACTAATTTGTACTAAAAGTGGACCTGAAAAAAAGACGTCATTGAATGCTTCATTTTCATCAATTCAATTTAATTTGCGTAGAGCATGCGCGATTTACTAAATACAATTAAATAGTACTAYTTAGTTTGTAAATTTGCAGGGTTTAAGTGCGATCACTCTAGCAGTTTTTCACGCTGCTAGTTTTGCAATTAATTACAACAACTTGATAAATTATCCCCTGAATAAAATTCAAACAGTTCCGTTCAAAGTTCAGTCTATTCTTGACACATACATGTGGTCTAAATTATAGAAAATGCAAAGTTTATCAATATATATGACTTTCAATTATTGACATTCTCGTTTTCTCGTTTTATCTAAAACATGTATTTTTTCTTCTCGAGTTTGAAAGTAAAGCTTTCTCTGGAAATACCAATGTTGAATATTAAAAAAGTAATCCATAATTTGTTATGAATTCAAACTATATCTATATTTGTGAATACCCTACATAATAAAGAGCTTAAAACGCACCTATTTCGGTTGGACCACATGGACCTGTTTTACCATCAGAACAAGTAACGATTGACCAAAGAAAAACCATAAGTGCACGGCGTGCATCGTTATTGGTTCATTTAGAGCTTAGAGTGTTAACTATAAGTTTATAGTCCAGTATCTTACCACTTATAATCTATTAATTTCTGCAATTAATGGACTCGATGGATATGTGGATTTTCAACATGTATATATGCCTAATATAAACGGTATGTTTATCAAAAACAATTCATCGTCGATCAATAATCCAAGAATTTCAGCTAAATATCGTAATATTTGAAGAAAGGTAAGCGAACTATGAAAATGTCAGGATACATACACAGTTTAAAGTAACATACATACAGAATCGTGACCAATAATCACTTTAATAAACGTTTATGAATATATCTAGATAAATCCTAGTATGGTTGGTAAAATAGAGTATGTAGCGTGAGAAGTATTGCATTGTGCGCGCATGGTTTTGTAGGTAATATACCCTTGGAGAAGGTAAGTGATCGAGACGATAAAGCAAAGTCAGATTTTAAGAGAGCGAATTTTAGGGCTTGTTAGGTTTACTGTGAGATTTTGTTAACCAGTTGCATATTCTTCCTAATTATATAAAAATTTATTTAAAGTAATTCAATAATAAATATAGGACACAGCTTTCCCCTTAGCATCGAATATATAAGATACTTTGAAGCCGGTTACCTAACAAGAAGAAAAGAAGTTAAAGGAGTTTTAAAGTGCATTATAGGATTATTTTCATGTCTTTTATGGAAAGTTGATTGATCCTTAAACATGGTTTGACGACAAAAAATTCAAAAATTGAAATAGTAGTATGTTTTTGAGGCGATTGAACTTCAGAAAATACCTTTAATGGGCTTCCTATGGTTTTTATATCGAGAACTTGATGACATAGCAGCCATCAAAGGGATATAATTGTATTAAGAATCGGTGACCGATAATGAACTTAGATCAGAGTTAAATGAGATTTTAACAAACGAATTTCAGTGAATATTATCGTTTGACAATTTCGCCAAATTCTCATTAGCCACAAAGGACGCCAGAGAGCCTCTGACAGATACTACGCCACAAGCGTATTGTCACCAGTTGTCGTGGAACTCCCGCTATAAAAGCACAGGAAGCCCAAATAAACCATTTTCTAAACTTTAATCTTTCTTAATTTCTTTACATCAAACCATATTTAAGGATCGACAGGTTTTCAAAACCGTATAAAATTCTTTAGGTGCACTTTAAAATCCATAAAAAAGGATCGGTATATTCCAAATAAAAAGTTACAATGATATACCACATAAGCTACCGAAAATATATTAGAATTGAATTTGGACCACTTGTATATATAAGTACAATTTTTGTCTTTAATAGACACCCACAAACATGGAATCTAAGTCACTATCACATGATGCGCAAGGACAAAAAACAGCAATAGAAAGCCTAGTAGGCCCGGACATTCAAGAAACTAAAGTTCTCGTTTCCCCGGATGAACAACTGCGTGTTTCTGTAACTGAAACACAAATAGCTCCAGACCAGCAACAATTACATGGTATGAGCTCAGCCTCAATTCCACCTGATAAGCATTTCTGGGTTATGTCAGTCCCTCAACAGCAAATAGACATGACGTCAGTACAATATTCCCGGCAACCAACGATGACGTCATATTTATTTTCTGACCAGCAACAACCAATGATGATGAGAACGCAACTACCCGCTGACCAGCAAGAACCAATGATAATGAGTTCAATCAAGCTACCCGCTGATCAGCAACAATCAAAGGTGATGAACATAACACAGCTACCACCTGAACAGCAAAAGTCAATGGTGATGAGATCAATGCCACTGCCAGTTGACCAGCAACAATCAATAATGAGTTCTAAACAGATACCCCTTGACCAGCAAAAGTCAATGGCGATAAGATCAATGCCACTGCCAGCTGACCAGAAACAATCACTGGTGATGACAAAACAGCTACCCACTGGGGAGCAACAATCAATGAGGGCGAGATCAGTACAGCTATCAGGTGATCAGCATCAATCAATGGTGATGAAGTCAATGCAGATACCAGCTGACCAGCAACAAGCAATAGGGATAAGCTCAACAGAACCAGCCGCTGACCAGCAAAATTCAATGGTGATGAGATTAACGCAACTTCCAGTTGACCAACAACAAGCAATGGTGATGACAACAGCACATTTACCCACTGACCAGCAAGAATCAATGGCGACGAAATCAGGACAGCTACCAACTGACCAGCAGCAAGCATTGGTGATGAGATCAATGCAACTACAAGCTGACCAGCMAAAATCGACAATGATGGGATCAACACAGCTACCTGTTGACCAGCAACAATTAATGATGATGACATCAATGCAATTATCAGCTGACCAGCAGCAATCTATAGTGATAAGTTCAGAAAACCTACCTGCTGACCAGCAACAATCAACACAGCTATTCGCTGAACATCAGCAGTCGATGACGAACAAAGGATTACCAATAACAGCTAAAAGTCAACAATCGTCAATGAAGACAACACRGATACCTGATGAGATGTCACAATCCGATATTTACCAACAACAACTGGGTACTATGCCAACACACCTTGCAGCCAAACAGCAACAACAGTTGATGGAAACAACATTAAAAAAATCATCTGACCAGCTCCAGAAAGCCATGTTGACACCAGACCCTCCTCCTCAATTGCAACAGTCACTTTATCTTACTGAAACACAGCTGAGTTACCAAGAGTCTATTAATATGACAGTGACGAATACACTTGATGACTCAGTCAGTATAACAACAACTCCGTTACATGATGACAAGACAGCATCCATAACAACAAGTCCCTTGACCATTGACCAACAGACAGTCACAATGACGACAATTTCTCCATCAGCTAATGAGACAGCAACAGCCTCCCTTCATTCTGAAGAGTCAATCTCCATAACAACAATCCATTTGGCTCAAAAAGAAGAGTCAATTACCATAACAACAATGCCGCTTCCATCTGAAGAAACAATCTCAATAACGACAATGCCTTTGACTCAGGAAGAAGAGTCAATTACCATGACAACAATGCCTATTCCATATGAAGAAACAATCTCCATAACGACAATGCCTTTGACTCAGGAAGAAGAGTCAATTACCATGACAACAATGCCTCTTCCATCTGAAGAATCAATCTCCATAACGACAAAGCCTTTATCTGAGGAAGAACAGTCAATTACCATGACAACAATGCCTCTTCAACCTGAACAGTCAATCTCCATAATGACAATGTTACCAGATGAACAGTCAATCATCATTACCGAAACTCCTGTGACTATTGAAGAAGAGCAAACGCTTGAGATTAGTACAACTGAAATACCACTGGGCGAGATATCAGATATCGAGCAGCAAAGCCTTGAAATCATCAGCATGCCGTTACCCGTAGTAACTTCTACCGGTACACAGACAGACCTTCCCCTTTCCAGTGAGCAGCCTTTCTCGCTTGCTGATATAGCAAATCTAAAAGAGCAAGTATCCAACTTAAAAGCAGAAATATTAGTGGAAAACCAGGAAAAAAGCAGCATAATGGAGATGTATAAAGCTGCGGTAACAGAATATGAGATATCCAGTACAAAGAGCAAGCAAGAATACGAGGTAAAATTAGCAGAAATGAGGATAAAAATCGAACATTCCGAAAAAAGGTACCATGAGATTATACAAGAATTTGAGATTTTCCGCCTAAAACAATCGTCTTCAGAAAAGTCCAACGATAAAACCTTAATACAGTTAAGGACGGATATGGAGAAAAACTTTTCCAACGAAAAGGCAAAAATGGAATTAAGATTTTCAAGTGAGCAGAAATCATTAATTGAAGAATACGAAGAAAGACTCCGTAGGTCAAGAACAGAAAACAAAGAGCTACTGAATACTTATACTTCAGCAGTGACAGACTATGAACTTAAAATCAAAAATATCCAACAAGACTACGAAATCAAACTCGAGACTCTGAGTGCAAAAAATAGCAAATTGGAACACAGATTTAGAGAAATACAGGAGGAAAACAGAAAAATAAGATCTAATCTCTCTGATGCCAAAATTGCATATGAAAGAGACCTATCGGAACTTAAGAAAGACATCCAAACAAAATCTAAAAAAGAAAATGAAATAATGGAAGCAGAATTTGAAAAAGAGAAAGATAAGATAATCGAAAAGAACAAAATAAACATTGCATACTATGAGGAAACTATCGTGAAACAAGAGGAAATGTGGATGGAAAAGATAGCAAAAATGACCAAGGAAAGGAATAGTCTCCAAGAGGATTGCGCAAGACATATTCAAGAATTAGCGATGCTTCAAAACAAAGTAATTTCTCTTGAAAAGYGGCATGAAWTTARTATAAAGGAGCTCAAAGAAGAAATGGAGGAATCTTATGAGCGAGGCGAGGACAAACTGGAAATGGGTTTTAAAAGAGAGAGAGCCAACCTTCTAGAAAAGTATCAAGAAAAGGTTAAGGAATATGAAGTGAAAATGACAGCCATGCAACAAGAATACGAAGTGAAAATTTCCCAGCTTACTTTAGAGAAAGAAAGGACGAACCAAGAACTAGCCAATGAAGCTGAAGACTGGAAAACCAAATATTCTAAATCCAGATTTGATTATGAAAGCAGAATTATAGACTTAGAGTCTAAGATGACAGACCTGGAGAGTAAGAACAAAGCTACAGTAATTGATTATGAAACACAACTCTCAAATTGTAAGAATGAGCATGAATCATGCACAAGTGCGCTTAGAGCAGATATCAATGAGTTGCAACAGAAAGACACAGAAAACAACGAAGAGATTTCAAATCTTAAAGAGAGAATGACAGATGACAAAGAAAATCATAAAATGATAGTTGAGCAATTGAATTCGGAAAACAAGAACGAGGTAGAAAGGCTTCGAACAACTTTCATCCAAGAGAAAAAGAATATGCAAAGTGGACATGAAGATAAAATCAACACCTACGAAAACAGACTGGCAGCAAAGCAGCAAGAGCTAGATGAAGTGCAATACAAATATGAACGAGAACTTCACGAGCATAAAAAAGAGCTTTTAGAATCAGAAATGCAAGTAAGACTTTTAGAGACCAAGTCTACAGAGGCAGAAAAACRTTATCAAAGGTTATTAAATAAATCAAAGGATAATCTGACAAGCGCATTTGAAAACAAAGAAGATAAGCTTGAGGCTTATTTTGAACATGAAAGGAAAGAAATAGAAAAGATGCACGAGAAAGAACTCAAAGGGAAAGACGATGAAAATAAGAAGCTAGTGAAGTATTATGAAAAGAAACTACATCAGATGACAGAAGAGTGGGAAGAAAAGTCACGAAAGAAAGAAAAAGAGAAAAACAACATCAAAAACCTTGTAAATGAAATGACTGATAATCACAAGCGGGAAATTGAAATCATTTTAGAGAAACACAGACAGAAAGCCGAAGAATGGGACCAGAAGATAAAAGACATAGAAAAACAAAAAAGCGTCATAGAACATCAATTTTTAAAAGAAAAGGATGAATTGAATGAATTAAATGTGAAAGTTGTGCATCAATTCGAACATGAGATTTCAAGAATCACTCAAAACTACGAGGGAAAAATAAGAGACTTAGAAAAAGAGCAAGAAGAAAATGACGAGAAAGGCAAAAAGAAGATTAAGAACATTCGACAAGAATTGAGCGATGCTGAAGAAAGGTTTGAAGCTGAGATCAAACGTTTTAAAAACGAATTCAAAGAAAGATACTATCGTGAAAAAGAAGACATGGAAGAAAGTTTTGCAAAGGAGAGACAAAGGACAAGCGAAGCACGTCAGCAAGAAGCACATGAATACGACAAAAGATTGAAAAATCTTAAAATTGATTCCGACGCAGAAATAGCACGTTTATATGAAGAAAATAAGAAACTAAAAAAAAGTGTGAAAGAGCTGGAAAAAGAAATGGTAGAAAATCGTGATCAGATAGAGAAAAGATGGGAAAAGGACATGGACGAGGCAACTGCATTAATACGGCAAGAAAATGACAGGAAGATTACTCAAATGAGGGAACAATTTGCAAAAGAAAAGACAAAATACAAGAACGAGTATGAAGAAACTCTTAAGTCATCTGAAAGCAATCTTCAAGAAATGGCTGATAGTTACGAAGAAAAACAGGAAGACGCAGAGGAAGAAATCGACGATCTTCAAATCTCTTTTAACAAAGAACTAAAAGAAAGAAAACGAGTGGAGAAGGAGCTAATAGAACAACGGAACGAGGTAGTTAAACTTAGAGAAACATTTAGGATACTTGAAATGGATTATACCAAACGCCTCGAGGAAATGAGCCGTTTTTTGAAGAAAGAAATTGAAATCATAAAGATGGCTTATGAAGCAGAAAAGGCACAGTTTATGAAATTTTTAGATGATGAAAGAAATCGACATCAAGAGACACGGAAACATTCTCAAACACTTATCATTAAAAATGAAGAGCTTGAAATGAAAATTAGATCAGGAAAAATGGAGAATGGGCATGAATTCAAGTTAATACAAAGTGATCTTTTGAGCGCAAGAAAGGTCAACGACGACTTACAGCGAGAAAGAGAGCTTCTGAAAAGGGATATTCGMGATTTGAGAACACGACTCGAAGCATCTAGGAAGGAGATCGAGTCTTTAATGTCAAAAATTAAGACCTCAGAAAATAAAAGGAACAAAGTATTGGACCTTGAGATGGAAAACTCCAAGTTGCTAGAMGAAATAAGCTCCTTGTACTCAGAAAAGGAGGACTTCATAAACAAACAAAAACACGAGGAAAAGGGACATCAAAAAGCAATGAAACGGCACGAAGAACATTTTTTTGAGTCCAAGAAGAGCTATGCAACTTCAATGCATGATATAGAATGTCGATACAAAATTGAATTTGAGTTATTAGCCGAACATGCCGAAAAACAAGGCAGAGATCTGGAGCGAATACAAAGTGAAAACGTACAGATGCTGAAAGAATTACATGAGCTTCGCAACGAAAAACGTCAAGGTCTTCAGGAAGATGTACTAAGGCTTACGAACGAGTTGTGTGAGATTCAAAAGAAACATGTGAACTGCAATAAAATGAAAGATGAAATGTCTCAACAAGAGAKAAAACTAGGAGAAATGAGCAAAGAAATTGAAAAAAACAAAAAAGAGTTTTTCAAACTTCAGCGAGAACATCAAAGATGTGACCTGACCAAATCTGCTCTAGTAAAACAGATCGAGTGTACATACACAACAGAAAGAGATAAAGAAAATGCCAAGACAAAAGAGACGATTAGGAAGCTGGAGGCTGAGATTTCAAAACTACGAAAAGAAAAAGATTCTTATGAAAGAAAAATCACTGATATTCAAAGACACTCTGAGCATCAGTGTGAATTAGAAAACACTAAGACCATGAAAGAACAGATTGAAAAGCTGACCAAACACTACGAAGACGATAAGAGAGAAATCGAGCGACTTCACGTGGAAGACAAGAACAATGTCAGCATGGGGTGGGCACAAAAACATGAAGAAGAGAAGGAACGGTGGGAAAATAGTCTCAAGAAATCTCAAAAGCAAATAGAATTGTTGAAGAGAGGGAAACATGAAGCTGAGAACAAGAAAAAAGAGCTAGAAGAGAAAATGAATGTCACTGAAGAAAAATTTCAACAAAGGCTAGCAGAAACAAAATCAACTTTGTCATCTGAATTTGAAATGCGCCTCGAAGCATCGAGGAAGGAAAACGAAATGGAATATTACTTGCTGTTGACTGATCAAAGAAAGCAAATGGATGAACAAATCAATATTTACAAAGTAGAGATAGAAAAACAAAAAGAATCCAAAACATTTAATAAACTTTTGAAAGAATCAACATTGAGAGAGGCACATCTTAAAGAACAGATATACAAACTTCAAGAAAAAGAAAAAAGCGCCCAATTCAACATACTGGAACTTGAGCGGCAACTAAGGACTCAGAAAGTAACATTTGAGAATAAATTCGAGCATATGATCGAGGACTACAAAAGAGATTACGAGGAAATGAGAAGAAAGCTAGAGCATGAAAAGGAAATGGTTGTGATAAGCCGTGACGCTCTTCAAAAAGAACTCGATAGAACGAAAAATAAACTAGTCTTGTTAGAAACACAAAGAGAAGAAAATAGYCTTAGAGGCACTGGACAATCAGATGACCATGATCAAGATCGTACAAAGCGAAATCTAGATCAATCTGAACTAGAGATGAAATACAAAGAACAGCTTTTGTCCGAGCGGAAAACATACGAAACAAACCTATCAAGCTATAGAAGCGAGATTTCAAAGCTAACTCAGAGCAAAGAACAAATGGAAATAGAATACAAAGAACTGTCACTATCTTGTAAAAACCTACAAAAGATAATAGCGACGCTAAGAAGTGATATAGAGCGAAATCATGAAATTGRTTCAGGGCATGATTATAGTGAGAATTTGTCTTGTGGGTGTGCCCATTACGTCTATCCCGAGCAAGGAAAGCAGGACGATGCTGCGGAGTACAGAGATAAATCACGAACACAGGTCGTACATGTACGTAAAGGGAAAGATGGAAATAYAGCACATGACAAATTTGAACGAAGCAATAAAGATTTTGAAGAAGATGGCAACAAAGATTCAACACATGAATACTGTGCGGCTATGAAAAAAAAAGATGACACAGAATACAGCGACACGCGCGGTAAAATGCATATGTTRCACAGTGCGTACTCCAAAGACGAGCTCAAAAAATCTGATGACATCAACATGCAATCAGGTATATATGCATACAGCACTCATGAGGGACGTGGAGATATGAAGGGTGTACACAAAGGACGGTATCACACGAGCAGAGAAATCGTAGATGATATCATCATGACAAATAATTCAGACGACAAGTCAAGTGGCGCCTATAAGCTGGCACATGGAGAAGATGACAATGCTCCGTACTTCGAGTATCAGTCAATACTATATCACGCGCGTCCAATGCACACGYATGGCGCGCATGAAGATTTTCATCAACAACATTCACCACAGTACCTCACTTACCTCGCTCACGAAGAAAGCGAAAAGGACGTTACGTACGATGATTCTGAAGCCAATCTATCAAATGAATATCAAGTAGAAACGGAGCAATATGACCATCAATTAATTTCCAGTCAAGACGAGATGACATACTCATCAGCAAGATTACAGGTAAAAACTTAGTGTATATTCTCTTTATCTACATTTCATTTCCTTATAAATTTTGCTCGATTAAAATAAAGGTAAAAAGAGCGGACTGAAATAGGAAAATGGAATTCTTTTTTAGAATTGCTTTGTACGTAGGCATAATTATTAAAAMTAAATGAATCCTCTGCGTTTACATGATGGTTTTATACGACCGAACTTTTGGCCTAAGCCTCCATTATCAAGAAGGTTTTTTGTGTTGTTTAAAATCCTACGTGTACTCTACCTTGATTATGGCCGCTTAGGCCGAAAGCTCGGTCGTATTAAAACATCATGTAAACACAGAGGATTCATTTATTTTTAGGAATGGAATTCTTTTTGCTTGAAATCATATATATAAATGCATCAAATTGCATTTATATCGAATAGATATCGACTGCTCATTTAATCTAAAAGATTAGTATATTTAATCTAAAAGATTAGTATACTGACATATCTGCTCTATGTAGGGTGATTTGACAAACAGAGATAATGCTGGAGCTATTTTTCATCGGCCTAATAGAACAGATAAAAATAAGGATAAAAATAAAGACATAGAGGAGCAATTGAAAGAAATGGATCAACAATTAAATACTCTTGACGACAAAGCTAGGCATCTTGTGCAGTTGGATGTGCAGGTAAGAATAATCTTCATTTGACATGGGAATGAGCATTTACAGCACATCTATTTTTAGCTGGAGTTGTCATCCTATTAAAACACTATAAATGAAAAAAGTATGAAACAAAATAAGAATAATAACATGCATGACGCAAGAGAGGTTAGGGACGGAAAAATAAATAGACGATTGCACAGCTACAAAGATAGATCAAAATAGTAATTATTTTCATAGAACTGAACTATAAGCCATATTCATTGTTTCATGAGAGATTTATAGCACATTTACCAGAAAAAAATTTCTTGTCCAGTGACTGAAATACGGCAGCCATTTTACTACAAGGAAACAGTCGTCATCACGACTCACGAATATTAGCATACATTTAGTTTCGCGTYATCTCACGGACCTGCAACCTTTATGGTTGAGATGAATTTAGTTTTCTTTTTTTTTWAATAATATGTATATTCTCTATCCAAAAGATTAACGAAGGAAGAGGGTTTACGTCAGGAAGAAGGATTCAAAGGACGTCTTATCAATACACTTCAAGATACAGAAGTACGACAAATATTTGAGCAGGACTTGACCAACCAAGTTAAAAAGAAAGCACAGTACTCGACATTGTCGAGTATTGACCTTCTCAATTTATTTGTAAGGCAATAAGTAAAATACAAACAAATGTAAAATATACAATTCAAGTTTTCTTGGAGAAGGTTATTCTCTCTATTTATAGTTGAATAAAGATCATGGTCGTGACATTAGATGTGCTGGGATCAGAGATCGGCGTTATTTTTGTGATTAGGGATAAGGATCTTTGCTTTGGAATCGGGATCGCAAGCACTGGATTCAGCCTTAAAAGTTGCAAATATAAATGCATAGGAAAATGCATTGAACAAAAATTTGGGATCAGGTCTTTTTGGTCAAAAAACGGGATCACGAATAAATAAAATATGTCGTGYCACGACCCTGAAAAAATGATGATGATTGACTATTTGTTGCCACAAGTAGACACCAGTGAAGATTTTATAGTATCAGACCAGTCCTATTATTGTTATATAGTTGCTATTTTTCTCAAAAGGCATATCTCCAGCTGCAGTGCATATAATTGCTGCGACGGCTGATGCATTGTACATTTAACCAAATTGTGTAAAGAGAATTTCACAAGATTATCAATTTAATAATTTAATATTGAAAAATCAAACATTTTGACTGCTTTTTATTTACTATCTAACTTTAAACTATTTTTAAAGAAAATGGCTTTAAGGAATGAGTTCATACTGAGCAGAAATTTATAGCTTGTTTCCAGACAGTTGACGAGTAGCCATCTAGACCTTGGGAACTTTTGCTCAAACACAGCAGTTTATTTTGCTATAGATGCATCCGAACAATGATTATGAATTTCTGATGAAATGTAAATGCGATATTTTATAAATGTTACAAAGAATTCTCATGGAATTCCTTTATCTAATTATATATGCATGAGCCTCGTCACCGTTTGTATGCCTGACAAAGTCCCTAAGTCAAAGCCTCCTCTGATGCTATCTCTTTCCTTTCTTGAAAGTAACGTACGAATTCTGAGATTAGAAAATTCACGGCTCTAGCTGTTTCACTTTCAATTCTTAGGTAATTACATGGCCTTTTCGTGTTAATTATCATGACTAATGTGCATTTATCAAAGTCTTATTTTTCGATTATATTTTCTGCGAGGCGAGATCTGTTGACTTGATCCTCTTAAATTACAAATGCTTCACATATTTCCAAGTATATAGATTTTATCCAATCATTATCGTCAGGGGCGGATCCATGTGGTGAGTGAAGGGAAAGCGCACCCCCTCTTGAGACCTTGTATCCTAAAATTATTTCCATTACTTTGTGTCTCCTTTGTCATTATTTTTGTGGAGTTCAACTCCTCTTAAAGTGTCATGCACTCCTCCCCGAAAAAACTTCCTTGTCCTCTCCTGATAGCTTCGTTTTGTTTAAAGTAATAAACAACACTTTAATGGACTTCCAAAGGATCATCATTTAGTCCCCAATTTTAAGAAGGGTGAACCTGCCTGGAGTTAGCGTTACCCATGATACTATACAATCGCCAGCTCACTGTACGAAAGATTCTCACACCAGCCGAACGAAGTTGTTCGATTCTCCAAAAATAGATAATGGGATTTAACAAACTACTTAGGAATACACAACTCTCTGAAACTCTAAATGCGACGCGATAGTTGGGAAAGGTCTTTCTACCAAACGCCGTGATAACAATCAATGTCAATAGCTGTGGAACATAGCTCACAACAAAAGCACCAAATATATAGTACATCGCATATGCGGACCTTCTCATTCGTGTATTTTGGTGAGAAAATTGTCTGTGAGCATCGATTTGATTGGAATGCCGCCGAGTGATTAAAAATATTTTGATCAGGAAATATATATCCAAGACAATAATGACACATAAACCAAGACCGGCAAAAAGAAAAAATATCAATGTAAATACCCTCAAGATTCCACATAAAACCCCACAACACCAAATGAATAGTAGCAAACGACCAACACGGGTATTTGTGACAATTTGTTGGTATCTTAAATGGTAGTTCAAGGCTATGAAACGATCGGCGATAAGAGCTGTTAAAGTGAGAAAAGATACAGCACAAATACACCAACCAAAAGCATTGTAAACAAACCGGGCCTGACAATACTCTGGAAACACTTCGTTCATCTCATAAAACTGCATCGCACAAAACGATGGTTGAATGATCATACCAACAAATGCATCAGCGATTGACTGACCAAGGATAAGAAAATTTGATGCCCTATGTAATGATGCTGTCCGAGCAATGGTGAAGACAATAAGCAAGTTATTAAAGGTGACTATAAATAGCAAAATCCCATTTATAAGCAACAATGCTGACAAAGTATTCGCATAAAGTTGATTTCTCAGGACTCGCGACTTGAGTTCTTCTATTGCCATTCCACAATTTAACATAGACTTCGCAGTAGTATTGCCCATCTTTGCCTCGGTTTTTTAAGGTGAAGCGAAATATCTTTCTCGCACGATCGCTTTGAAATTTGTCGACTACTTTTGTGACGAGTGAAAGCTTGTTGGCTTTAGGATTTTTACTTAATGACTGCAGGCTATCAAGTGTCCTTTTAAGTAAATCCACTTCAAAATGACAATGGCAGATGTATTACGAATATAAAATGTAATCAGCTAGGTATAGAATCTTGATGGCCACTACTTTCCTTAAAAGGCGTTTTTCAGGGCGCACTTGAGCAAACCGGCTATTTGGACTTCAACGAGTAATTTATTATTCGGAAATGATTATATTTGCTCATATAGGAACGATCTAGAAGAAAAAACACATTTTTTTCGCCCACGTGCGATAACGCCAAATTTCTTATAGGGTATGACATTKTTGAAAATTCAAATTACTCTGCATCAGAGTTTTTGGGAGTTCAAGATACTCCACGTGGTACAAATTGAGATCCCTGATTGGCTACTTGACTCGTGAATAATTCATGAGGTTTTCTAGACGTCAGCACACAAGATTTCATTAAAAGTGTTTGGCATTATCGATTTGCTGGAATCAAATACATCAAAAATGAACAACAACAAAATTAATCAAATATAAAAACAAGAACAAGTCGAGATATTGGCAAAATATCAGCAGGTGTTTCATACAATACAGGAACCGTGATATTATATTGCATACTTGTCCTTCATCAAAAAAGGAGCCTATAGATCACAGTTAGTTGCATCAAATATTAATGAGATGCTGCAGGCGGATTTCATAACCGAATGTGTTCGACAAAGACAATTGAAAAAGGYTTTTTCCTAGAAAGAGGTGAGGTGCTAGAAATATCGACAGAATACTATACTAGTAATACTATTTTAAAAAGAATCAAAGAAAAGTCTACAATTTTGAGAAAAAAAGATATCATGATGGCTATAGCACTGCATGTGTCCATAAAACAGTACTTGATTAAGGGAAATAAAGTACTTTTTGAATCTGCAAACGCTAAGATTATCGAGTGAAGATTATCGAGTTTATCATATCATTATTATAGAGTTGTACGGAGTCAAAGATACAAAACTAAAATAAATATAAAAATATATGAAAAAAAAAACAAATCTTCATTTACTATTATTGCGTTATCAAAGAAGAAGGAACACCAACCATTAACATGCGGTACTAGATCGTATATCTACAAAATACAATCTGTAAACTAAACCGATGAACTGTGTGAATACGATATGAAAAAATGTGAATATAATGATTTAAAAACATGCATTTTGCAGATCTGAGAAAAATATAAAGGCATCGCTGCTTTCGTGTGTATGTGGTGAGCAAATTGTACAAGAAATACGAATGCTTCGAGCTATAAGAAACACTGTTCATTGGTGATAGTTATATGCTTACATTATTGTAGTCATTATAGCAAAAAATTAAAGGATTTACCAAGCTATTGCAGTGYWCAAGATCTCATGGAAATGCGAACTGTTTMAGTAATATTCAATTTGGTTGGGGAGGGACATGAAGTCCGACACAAAAAATGGGTGCGAAGGAGACTACTGCAATGTAGATCCAGTTTCAAGTACCAAGTAGTCCGAGCATATCATATAGGGCACAAATCTCTTTTCTCTCAACATGTTCAGGCTATTTAAAGAGTAGGAAATAAGTTGTAATAATCAGKCTTTTGAAATGATAAAGCTCTGACAATTGTAACATAAACAAGAAAGTTACTAGATATCGTAAAAAGAGATAATACACCTTTAATATGTATAATACAGTAGCCAATAACTTGTGTTTCTTAACGATGAAGAAATACCAAGGTACACATGTTCACAATTCAAACGTTGTTCAGCTCCAATGATAAATACTTGCCATTTTCTGAATACGACAAATTCTTAGAGTTGCAGATTCTGTGCGAGTGAGAAGAGCATCTACAGCAAGACCCACAAGACTCCAATTTCGAGTTCTGGTTTGCTCTGTGTTAGCCTCAAAACCAAGTAACATATTCTTTTGTTTTATTGATAGCCTGTGAAAACGCATGGAATTTGAAAAGAAAGACAATAGAATTGATTTGAAATCTCACACTTTTATTCTCACACTGCAAATGAGGCTAACACAGAGCATTGGAGAATTCGAAACTGGATTATTACCACGGTATTTTTCAGTAAAATTTATGAAATCGAGGATTGATTTTCTGCTTATTCCGATTAATTTCATCAGTACTAGGTCAAGGATGTTTTAATATTTTCAGTATTTCTTTGAAAAACATCATGATGAGTTGACTAAATGGGATTACAATCATATTAAAAGTGAGCTTAGTAAATAGAGAGAAATATAGCTTTTTGCAAGACAGCGCTGTTAAATCAATAAAAGTATATATGAATAAAGATAACAAAACAAATAAATCCAACATTTAATCAAAAATCGAAGAGATCAAGTGGCCTATGACAGCGCAATGGATGTTTTTTTTTCAGTAGCTGTTTCATATTCTAAGCCAATAAACTTTTAATTGGGCTTCTGTGCCAAGTCCTGAATTTACTATTTTTGAGCGAAATTTTTGAAATTATTTTTAAAACAGCATTGCGAACAATCAGTATTACCCGACGTGCCTTCACAGTCTTGCGAATTTGATAAAGAAAAAAATGTTTTACTTTCATGGAAATTACTAATTGCAATCAACAAATATTGACATAAACGCCACTGAATAGTCCCCTTTACGGTTTTCTTCGCTATCTTGAAAGGTAGCCGTGCTTTAGTTTCGCCATCGAAGCGAGACGACCGTGCAGTGATCGAACCTTATTTCACACCTACTGACAGTCATCCATCATTGCCCGCTCATCGGTCATCTCGCTTCGATGCAAAAGCACGTCTTATTTTMAAGATGGCGAAGTGAGGTTTTAATGCATACGCTTCCTATCGGTCCAAGCCTTTTAATCGTTGGTAAACAAGCGCAAGTAATTCAGTTTGGATAAAAATACACAATTATCGCTAGAGTAACAAATTCTGGGTTAACATTGACCAAAAATCCTCATTAGAATCTTTTATTTGATTGAGATTTGAGCAGAATTCGAGCATTTGAAATTAACAGTTTTTTTTTCCCGGCATACTGCTCTAAAAGGAATGGAATTTATACTTTATTCTGAGAGTGTTTCCAAGCCAAAGCATCATGGCTGGAGACATCCTAAATTTCAAGCAGTATATATTATATCTGAAAACGTCAGCACGCTGAGCTATGGCTGCTATCCATTTAAATGAAAAATCTCTCATTTTCCCGCCAAAATATAAAATAGCACTCACTGATTTGCGGATGGACTGGTAATAAAAATGCTTTGAAAACGTTGACGGACAGCATTGCGCATGTCTTCGATCCTCCAGCAGTAAATAATAGGATTCAACAAGCTGTTCGTTAATGCAAAGAACTCTGCAGCTCTGAATAGAATCCGAATAGTTTGGGTCCAAGTCTGTATAATCACAATAGCCACACTACAACCGACATAGGGAAAGAAACAAAGTACGAATGTACCAATAATGTAATATACAATATTAACGGACTTCTTCATTCGAATGTTCATGCTCGGCTGTGCTTGTAGAGCTTGAATCTGAGCTGAATGTCTTCGAACAGTTTGATTTATTTTACAAAGGAAGATTATATTCAGTAAAATAGCTCCAATAAGAATCAAAATATGAACTGTGAATATCTTGTCTGTGGTAAAGATTCTGAATATTCCAGCCAATATACCATAAATCCATATAATTACCAGCACTAATACGACCCGTGTACAGGTAACAAATTCCTGATATCTAAGATGAAAATGGAGAGCTAAAAAACGGTCAGTGGTAAGTACTGTGAGTGTTAATAGGGAGATAGACGCAAGGAACCACCCACTGAATTGATAGACAACCGCAGCAACGCAGTAAGGTTCTGCTACTTCTATAAGCTCAAAATACTGAATAGCTGAAAAAGAAGGTTGTGACAAGATACCAACCCAAAGATCTGAAATAGCCAAACCAAGGATAAGAAAATATGAAGGCGAATATAAAGACCTGGTTGTAGTTATGATATAGATGACAAGGACATTGCTACAGATTACTAGCAAAGCGGTTATTGAGTTTAGAATTAAGATAACCAATAGTGAATATTCATAGGTTTCACTGCGTTGGAAAGTCTGCTGATACCCAGGCAGCTGCGTACAGTTGAAATAATATGCATGGTCACTGGAGTTTTTCATCTTAAGCGAGTGGCAATTTCAATAGTATCTTTGAATGTAAATCTCGTTGCTTCTTTTCAATTTAGAAAAGCTTTGCGTCAGTTGAGTAGAAAGAAACTGTATAAGAAATGGTCAATTTCTAAAGAAAATAGTAAGCTTTGTCAGAGCTTGTCAAGGCTCACAATGCCCCTCGCGTTGTATTTTAGTTCTGGCATCCTTTGACATTCTGACAGCCAGTGCTTTGCCGGATTTATGGTGATATCTTGGATTCACTTTCCTCTTGATTTTATCCTCAAAATCCCCCTGAAAAATGCTCCTCGTCTTTGTGACACGTTCCGATTAAAATTAACCATTAAACAGCTCCTCGCAGAGTATTTGCCAGCCAGCCCTGCGATATCGTTCTTACATACTATTCAAAGAGAAACCTCAGTAGCTCTGAGTTCAAAAGTTTACTATACCACCGACGTGGTCGTCGCGATACTATTCATTTAGCTGTATGTCCAAGTAAAACCTTTCGTTGGGAGGATCAGCATCTCTTTAAAAAGGCACAAAAAGCCAACCATGGTTGACAGAACTGTTGACGGAGTCCTTCCTCAGACTGTACAAATGCAGTTCACACTGGAATAGATTTCTCAGCGCAATAACACAGTCTCAAGTTCTGCTCTGTCACTTGTGTTATTTTTTGTTTTTGTTTTGCTTTTTGGAATCGATAATAATCCAATATGTCCAGTAATATATCAGAACCAAGTTTTTCAAATTATGAATTCATTTGAGTCAAAAATGTTCGCCACAAATAAATGGCAGTTAGAATCAACGTACTGATACGGGACTAAAAATACATGTTAAGGAAACACTGAATGACAGTGCAAATGTAATACTAACTTCTTTTCAAAGAACATTCTGGGTGAATACATACAGAGTGACAGCGCTGTAAATGAAACTCAAATGCCCTTATGATATCTGATATATTGATTGCGCCACAGGATACGAAAAAATTAATATAAGAGCAGCGAATATCGGTCATTCAGTATTAAATAGGCTATTGCCAAACAAAGAATGACATGTAAAGTCGGTAAACAAAAGAAAAGAAGTATATATAGTCGCCGGTAGCGAATAGAAAATAAACATAACAGCATACTTAATCAAATATTTCTAGGAATCAACGTATGATTTATTGTCTAGCTGATAATAACGCAACAAAGGCATTCCAAACTAAAATGGGTTTTCCAAAATGACGTTTTTCAATAAGTAAACTACACTATTTGTCGGACAAAGACTCTGAATCAGACAAAAATGGTCATTTTTCACTGAATTTTAAACAAATCGGAGAAAAGCAAAGTTGTTTGCATTACTTTACTTCAAAATACGTGAAACTCGTTCAAAAAAGTTAATGTTTTTAAGAGATGCAGGAAGAATGGTTATTCTCATTAAATGTTCAATTCAGAAATTCTGCATCAATTGGACTTTTTTCAGAGAGTTCAATTCTTTAGTCTTTATTGGATGCAGAAATTCTACTTGAGGTTGCTTTCCCGAGAAAATTGGATTCTTGCCGAGTCACATAACAAATAACTTCTTTGAATGCAGAAATTCTGCATCAAGAATATTCAAATAAACAAATATGCTTGTATATCTTTAGCCTCTGTCCCATTTGAGAAAGAAATTTCGATTTTGGTACATTTTAGAAGAAATAATATAATTTTGTAGATCAGTTCTCACGACATGACGTTTTAAAAACTGATATTTGACATAATTTTATTACTAATATCAAACACGGGTTTTTTTGTGACTATTCCGTATCTTTATTAACTGTGAGGCAATGAGATAAACAGTATATAATATCTTATTAGTATACAACCAATTCCTATTTTATTTCTTATATTATGTATGATCAGTATGGTTTGTTTATCATGAAGAATGGATACATCTGATACGTGTTCCACCATAACACAGAAAAATATGTTTTTGTGTTTGCTCCAGAATAAATTGCTATAAAACGATTTCGGCGATAAGACACGCTAACAATCATCGCCATACAGTTTGCCATCTTTCAGTCATGTGACTGAAGCAACCAATGAGACCTCATCTATATCACAGGACTGCATGAGCCAATTGTTTGATTTGGCGCTCGAATTCAATTCAAACCGTTTCTCAGTTGTGAACCCCGGTCTTTCGTCTTGTTTTCTTCTTGTACATTCGAACATTTAATCTTGAAATGGAGTAGAAAGAAAATATAGTAGTCAGTCTCCTCTAAGACTGAGACGATGTCCACGGGTAGTCCAAGCTCTTTACTTGATATAAGAGAATGTATGTGAATCTATGTAAACAGTTGATTTRTGGCATAAMTATACAATRAATTTYGCTATAACTTATTGTGTGCATTATTATAGCTACTGGTAATCTCTGAAGCGATTTTCAGAACTTTTATGAATTTTTCCCCCATCTTACTATAATCTGTGACAGGGTAGGAATCGAAGCCCTCCATATATCAACTTCGAACAGCTATAAATTTGGTCGATTTTTTCGTCGAAATTCGACTCCTAACGCAATGTGCCCTTTGTACAGCTGTCAACTAATAACTTAGCACTGCAGAATTGCTGGTTTCATCGAGCCAGTTGATTTTCTTGAGCCATGAGCCCTCCTTAGGCAAGTATAATCCTTCTCAAAACCGCCAYTTTGCCACTGTGTTATTATCCTTATTAGATTTCCGATTATACACTCGCGATGCAAAATGGATCGACTTCTGATAGTTAATTCACTCCGAAAATCACAGTACACAAGATGCAGAATTTCTGTATTCACAAAAGTGATTTCAGATAATTTGCGCGATGCAGAATTTCTGCATCAACGAAAGCACCATAATAAGGAAATTCTTTCGGAAAATCTCTAAAAGATTCAGAAATTCTGCATTTAAGAAGGATTGCCTTCAAATAATATTAATTTTCACTGATGAATTGTGCAACTTCGATAAAATGTAATAAATGTAATAACTTTTAAATAGTGTCCGATGAATTTTATACTTGTCAATAACATAACGCACCTAAGATTTGATTGATCTGGAGATATAAACGTGAACTATCTAGAGCCGCAAGTTTTCAAAAAGCACCGCTTAATTCGCGGTTTGCCGAGTATGCATTTCAAGCAGCTTGTGACTCATGTAACGCACCCTATCAGTAACACCTGTCTTGATCACATATTTTCAAATCGTCCCGAGAGAATCCACTCGGTAGGTGTTAGAGTTTCTGGTCTAGCAGACCATCTACCGGTGTTTGCCGTTCGCTCCTACAAAGGAAAAGACTGTCCGCGCACTCATGGAAAGCACAACACAATTATCTATCGCAACATGAAAAAATTCAATGAATCACAATTCTTAACTACACTTTAAGAGGTCCTCTGGGACACTGTGTTTGTTTTCGACGACTTGGATGATATGCTCGATACCTGGGAACAATTGTTTAACAAGGCATTGGATAGCCATTGTCCTTGCCGAGAAAAAAGAGTGGCACGCGATAAGCAGGTTCCTTGTTTTACAGCACCTTCATCGGAGAGACTCTCTTTTGAAAAACGCGCGGGTTTCGGGTTCTCTTGAAGATTGGGGCAAATATAAATTGGCGCGAAATAGAGCTTCAAACGAAAAAAAAAAAAAAGAAAAAAAAGAAATTTTTTAGCAATTGCTTCAATGACAATAAAGACAACGCCAAAGGCATGTGGAAAACAATAAAGACTCTTACAAATATAAACAATAAGAAAATTSATAACTCAGAAACTGCCTCTTCAATATCGGCAGACGATTTTAATAAACATTTCGCCTCAATTGCTGACCGTCTTCGATCCTTGTTTCCGGACGTTCCGTTTGATCGTTCTAAACTCGATCACTTTGTTCTCTCAAGGAAAGATCCAGAGGTGAATTTCCGCATTCCTGACATAACGTCTGGTCTTGTTTTTGACAGTCTTCGCTGTCTGAAAGCGAATAAGGTTATGGGCATGGATAATGAGTGCTCGGTTTTTGAAAATTGCGTCCCCTGTAATTGCACCATCGCTCGCGAAATTGATGAATTTCTCCATCAGGTCATCTATGTTCCCAAGACGCTGGAAAATCGCAACATTATTTAAATTTGGGGATCGTGAGGATTTGCATAATTATCGGCCGATCTCAGTGTTGCCAATCCTTTCCAAGACCTTAGAGAAGCATGTCCACATCCATCTCTACGARTAYTTACTTCATAACAACCTTCTCTATGCTCGCCAGTCGGGTTTCAGGAGGAACCATGGAACTGAAACTGCTTTGATCAAGATTGTGGAYGATCTMTTGTTCAATCTTGATAAAAATCGCCCTAGTGGAATGGTTTTCATTGATTATCGCAAAGCATTCGATATGGTCGACCACACGTTTCTCATTTCTAAACTGCGCGCATATGGACTGGAAAATGGGACAGCAGATTGGTTCTTATCCTATCTTGATGGAAGACAACAGTTTGTTTCACTCATGGTACAAGCTCTGAAGTTGCAGCTATCCCTCATGGTGTGCCTCAAGGAAGTATTCTGGGCCCCTTACTGTTTGTTGTTTTTATAAATGACTTACCACTTCATGTTCAGCCATCTGATATAAGTCTGGATCGCTATGCTGACGACAATACACTTTCTGCTTCTACTGATATTAAAGATCTCCCAAGGTTGCGTGACATGTTGACTTCACCTGTTAACAATGTAAAGGACTGGACTCGAAGAAACAAACTACCGTTGAATGAGGCCAAAAGCAAAACCTTACTTGTTACTGGGAAACGCCTTCAAGTTCCAGAAAACTCTCTGTCCATAACAACCAGTAGCGGAAGCACATTGGAGCAATCAGACTCGGTCCGGCTCTTAGGACTTGATCTAAATTGTAAATTAGATTTTGTTGATCATAACGAGAAACTCTGTAAGAAAATTTCAGCACGGATTGGTGTACTAAATAAGGTCAAGGCGTGTTTACCTCTTAAACAGAGAGTTCTTTTCTATAATTCAATAATTAAGCCACTTTTCAA